CACGTTCCCTGAGGTCAGCGGACCAGTTGCTCCTCACAGTTCCAGGAACTCGTCTTAAGCGCAGAGGGGACAGGACCTTCTCTGTAGCAGGACCAAGACTCTGGAACGAGTTACCGCTGCTTGTCAGACAGCCCCCTCCCTCTTTGTTTTCAAGTCCCGTTTAAAAAACCCACTACTATTCAGTAGCTTTCAACACCAGATGATCTGTGTTTTGATCCTGTATGCTCCACACTGGTTAGTCGTCATTATCTGCATCGTTTTTATGTCCATATTCTGATTTACCTAATTTTGTATTTTGCTTTGTGTGTTACCTGTTGTTCTGTCTGTACAGCACTTTGGTTGGCCTTGTCGCTGTTTTAAGTGCTCTATAAATAAAATGGTATGGTACAGACCGACAGGCAGGCAGACAGACAGGCAGACAGACGCCTCACAAATACTCACTGGTCTGTCTCCAGCAGAGAATCCTCAGCTGCACCTCTACTCTCTGCCTCACCAGTTCCCAAACTGGCCGGGATGTTTTCACCAGGTTCTGCCAGGTTCTCCACGGACCTAAACCCTCCGGTTCCCCCGTGGGAAAACCTCCTGCCAAGCGGCTCTGGTGGATGATCACCCGGGTCCAGGATGAGCCGAGCCGCTGCCTTCGGCCCGGTCACATCATCCACCAGGTCCGGCCGGTCCTCGTCCAAATGCGTCATCCGTGCAGCCATAGCCCGGGCCATGCCGTGCTAATCAGCCCAGGTAAAGAGTGGGTTTGTTGGTTCGACAGTGGCAGGCCTCATCCTTTCTGTCTGCCTGACCGAGACAACAATACTGGGCCCTCTAGTGGTGACCCGCAGGATGGGCTCGAACAAGGAACAATCGAGAGGGATTTGTTTGCGCCACACTAATGTATGGAAACCCATTTTTGCCATAAAAAATAATAAAATAAAACAATAAAAAAAAAATCCTACATTATTTCAAGATACTAGCGCCAATAATTTTAAGACAATGTCATGATTATAGAATAAAAAATATATAATTTGAAATGCTTTCAAAAACTTGAACTGCTAGATGATGATTTAAAGATTGTTTTAATTCAACCGTTATTTATACAGGTTAGTCTCATTGAGTCATGAGGACTCTTTTTCAAGAGTGACATGTTTTAAACACACACACAAAAAAAAACTACAGATGACACAACAATAAACAGTCATAAAAAGCATATAAAATGAAAAGTAAAAAAAGTAGTGATATAAAACAAAATGAAAACAAGCTACATTACGAAATGGGGCAAAGTGTTAAAAACGTGAACATGTCTGCATTGAACTTAACAGTTGTTTAACATCTCTTAGGGATGTCAAAGTCAGCTTCAGATCTTTTTGCAAGGTGTTCCAAGTTAAATGAGCGGAGTAAGAGAAGGCCCTTTTTGCTGAATTCAGTCCGCACTGAGGGGATGCTGCAGGTAATGATGTCTTGAGAGCGCACGCTGTAGCTGCACTGACAAAGTCACATGTAGGAGGAGATGTATGAAGGCAACAGACCAAGTAGTGATTTAACGATGAAAATGTGAGAGTCTGCATGAAGATAATGATGACCAATAAATAGGGTGCAGTGATGGGTGTGGTAGTTACAACCAGTTACGAATCTTAACACCAATATTAAGTCATTATTATGAGACGCTGTCTGTTTCAAGATACTAAATAATAATTTTGAGAAATAAAGTCATAATTTTTTAATAATAACACACTAATTTTAAGTCATAATTATAAGGTGTTAGATCATTAAGTGAAAATACTAACTCATGATTTTAAGTTAAATCGTATTAAATCAGTTTCGAGATACACATTAATAATTATTAGATGCTAAGGCATAATTTTAGATTGATAAGTCATAATTATAAGATGTTATGAAATGATATTGTTATGTCATATTTTAAGGTCTTATAAACATGAGATAGATATTCTAATAAATCACAAGATCATGATGTTTACACAACTTGGAGATTTTTTTAAATTCAAGTGGCACACATTGGCTTCCACTCATTTGGTTTGTCACTGCTAATAAAATGTTCATAAATATTTTAGAAGCAAACATATGCTTATCAGAACAATTTACCTATATGGTCCATGATATGACCGTGTATTTGAACTTAAATTACTAGAAAGCTACTGTGTTGAAGTTATAGTTCAGTCTTTGAGAGCTGTACAGTATATTAAATAAATAATAAATCTTTGTGGAACTGCAGCTCCTGAGACTCTTTTAATAACTATTAATTCCTTTTCAACAGGATTGCTAATGGTTCAATTAAAAAAAATCACATAAACAACAATTTTGAAGATCTGATCCCATCCCAGGTTGTAAACAAAACGACGCCATCTTGAGCAACACAATCTTAACTGTGTTTAATGAGTTTTATTTTGAAATTCAGAAATCGATAAGCGGGAAACGGAGAAAGAGCGGCCTCTTACGGAAGCCCGCAGGCTGAACGGCTCTCTGTTGCTAATGGCAACAGTCTACAAACAAACTGGCGGGGGGGAACGCTGCTTGTGAACACTCATACTGGAAAAACAAAGTCTGAAAAAAATGAGCTCACCGTTTTTGATGTTAAAGAAAACGAGGCGCATTCCGCTGCCGGACTCTCTCAGTGAACAGAGGTAGGTTGTCAAATAGTTCCTGCAGGACATTTTTTTAATGTTTCTTTGCTGGACTGGTAAAATAGTTTGAACGGAAACAATGAGTGAGACATTTTGTTCCGCAGGGGCAGACAAAAAACTCCTTTCAAGAGGAACTTGCTGCAAGGTAGGCTACTTATAGAAAACTATTATTATTATTATTATTATTATTATTATTATTATTATTATTATTATTATTATTAGTAGTAGTAGTAGTAGTAGTAGTAGTAGTAGTAGTAGTAGTAGTATTAGTAGTATTATTATTAGTATTATTATTAGTAGTAGTATTATTAGTATTATTATTAGAAGTAGTAGTATTAGTAGTAGTATTAGTAGTAGTAGTAGTAGTAGTAGTAGTAGTAGTAGTAGTAGTAGCAGCAGCAGTAGTAGCAGTAGTAGTAGTAGTAGTAGTAGTAGTAGTAGTATTAGTAGTATTAGTAGTAGTAGTAGTAGTAGTAGTAGTAGTAGTAGTAGTAGTAGTAGTAGTAGTAGCAGCAGTAGTAGCAGTAGTAGTAGTAGTAGTAGTAGTAGTAGTAGTAGTAGTTATATGCCTTTATAAGTTTAAAAGAACTAAGAAATCTAGGCTAATATATTAATTAATAAAAATGAACTGCCTATTTTCGGTTCTACTATAGATGTTGCAGGTGTCTATTTTATTTGATATAACAACCAAAATGTTATTACCAATATGACCTTTTTAAAATAAAAACTGAAGGAAGTAAAGCTACACACCACATTAAAGAGACTGAAAATGTTTGTCATTTTGCACAATTTTTTCCCCTAATTTTCAAGTCGTCATAGTATTTGGATGAAATATAATCATATAACAGTGTGAATAAATCTGAAAACAAATGCTTAAAATGGCAAATATTATAAATAATTAAACAAAAAGTGTATTTCAAGTACAGCTGCTGTTGGTGGAAATCTTTTGTTGATTAATCAAACATTAAAAAACTGCCTATTTGTATGTATTTGTCTTTGTTTGTATGTTTATTTTTTGACTATCTCCTGTATTTATATTTCCTGCCTAAATGCAGATGGAATGAATTGTAAACTGTATAATTTTATTGTTATTTTCTTGTTCTCCTTATAACCAGTGCTTATAGATGTAAGAGTATGTACAAAATATATATTTGAAGAATTACTCAAATCAACCAGTAAAATAATAATTAATTCTAAGGTACTTGAAGGTAAGTGACATATAAAGATATTAAGTAACTGTGAATGTAAAGTCACTTTTCACCTAATATTCATGTTTATTTTATACCAGTCTACAATGCTTGCAACCTGAGTCTGGTTAATGAGCAACTCTTTATTTTTAATCTAGTTTTGACTTTTAAACATTTTTATTCGTAGAAATCCAAGCAGAATTCATCATTGAAGACTCTTGTGATCCAAACCCTCCTCTCTCTTCTCACACTAACTTCACCTCCTCTTCAAAGGCTCACGCTCCAAAGAAACAAGGTAGGAATGATTATTTCAAAAGTTAAAAGATTAGTGTTCCTTGAAGGAATACTGCCCACCACCTTTCAGGCCAGATTTTTAATCTAAGCTGTCGGCAAATTATGGCATTTTAGCCCTTTTCATGTAAAAAAAAAACCAAGTATATATATATATAATTTTATGGTTCAACCAATCAGGAGCTCCTCCAGATGACTTTGAGCTGATGGCTGCCATGATGCAGAGAGTTACTTTACTGGAGGAAAAGGTGAGGAACCAGGCTCAGGAGATAGAGCGCAAGGTGAGCGCACATCTGGACGGACTGAAAATCTTGTTGACAATCTGTCAAACTTGTCTCTCACTTTTCAAAAATAATCCATGCCTTCCAACTCGACTTAATTACTGTACCGCTCTTTATGTTGGGGTCAGTCAAGTCTCCATTTCTCCAGCTTGTCCAGAATGCTGCAGCTCGGCTCTTAACAGGAAGCACATTTCACCAGTTTTGTCCTCCCTTCACCGACTCCCTGCGAGTCACAGAATAGATGTTCAAATTCTCCTGCTGATCTATAAATACCTAAAGGGCCTCATTATATCTCTCTGACCTATTTCAACCTTATGTTCCTTCTCGGGCCCTGAGATCTTCTGATCAGCTGCTTTTGGTTGTTCCAAAAACCAGGCTCAAGCTCAGAGGAGATCGGGCTCTTTCAGTCGTGGGCCCTAAACTCTGGAACAATCTGCATAGTCAGGCCTCTTCACTTCCTGTTTTTAATTCTTCTTTCAAATCTGTTCTCACCGACTTTTAACCCAGTGTGAGTTGTTTTAGTATTTTATTGTTCTGTGTTTATTTTCTTCCGATGCTTTGAAATTAATTTGCTTTATTGTTTTTCTCTTTGAATCTCCACTTTGGTCAGCGCTTTGGTACCGACCCGCTGTTTTTAAATGTGCTTTAGAAATAAATTTGACCTTGTGTTTTCTGAAGGAAAGACACGTTTTAGTGTTAGCGAAGGGGCTGAGTGCGCCGGAGGAATCAGGTAACGACGCACACATCGCGCACGCGCTCCGGTTCTTCTGGACGGTTCTGACCGTGTTCTGGCTGTGTGTGGGTTCAGGAAGCGCGCCTTGTTTGAGCTGCAGAGAGAATGTTGAGAGAAGATGCCGACTTCAAGATCGAGTGCAACAAATGGAGGTACGGCGAGTTAAAGAAGTGTGTGGTGCTGTTGATTCTGTTGGGTTTAGCTGCTCTTCTCTGTGCAGAAGCTCCTGAGTGATTATGGTCTGGTCTGGGTGGGAGAGGACATCAGTGGTTCAGCAGAGAGCGAGCACACTCACAGCTCAGGTGGTGACCTCTGGCAGACAGGTGCTTTAATATTTTACAGCCTCTGAGCTCTTTTCCACAAACATTTACCGAGCTGCATCTCCATCTGGCCTTTCCAGACACGCCTGCTGACAGGGGCTTCCACGTGAACTTTGACCTCGTGCTGCAGAGGATCAAGGAGCTGAACTTCCTCACGGGGGAAGGAGAGGCTTTTGTTCAAGCAACAGCAAGTGGAGCAAAGCTAGCCTGGAAGGATCCTGTTCACCTGAGGCTCTACAGCAACGGCATTGTGATGTTCGACGGTCCGTTCCGCTCCTACGAGGAGCACAGCACCCAGGTTTGCTGCTCTGAAGACTTTTACAGAAAACTTCCAGCTCACAACTGGTTACAACTGTCCATCCTCCGGTTCTTACAGCAGTGCATGCAGGACATCATGGATGGCTATTTTCCATCTGAGCTCCAGCACAGATTTCCAGACGGAGTGCCCTTTGAGGTGATTATCTGCTCTTTTCTGTCCACGCAGTAACACAGACGCCTCATTAGAGCTTCTTTGTCCAGGTTCATGACAATCGACATGAGAAATTTAACCCCCAGCTGCTGTGGGACACATTTCCTGGTGAAGGATGGTCTGTTTGTGGGAGGAAAGGTGAGTGGACAAATGCAGTGAGCTTTCAGTTAGCAGGTGTGTTCTGCTCGTCTCTGACACACAAAAAAACAGATCAATTGTACTTTAATTGATTATTATTTTCCCTGACTCACAGGGAAGATCGATCAGTTCCTGAACAAGCTGCCAAAGATGGTTGTGAAGGCGGGTCGGGTGATTGACATAAGAAACTCGCTGAGGAAAATGATGCAGGTCAGCAGCAGCACAGAGGGAAAACATTTCATTTTATACTTTTTTTTTTCTTTTTACAAAATGCTCATTTTTTAAAGTGGCCTTCATCAGGGTTCATCTGAAACTCAGCACAGCAACTCAGAGATTCTTGTCGACACGCCAGCGCTGCAGGCAAACCTGGACAGGTAAACAAATACAAAATGTGCCATAGTGCAGTGGTTCCTGACCCTGGTCCCTGAGGAACACCACACCATGTTTTAGCTGCTTCAACACACCTGACTCAGTACTTTAATTACTTCAAGTTCTGCCAAAACCTGTTAATCACCAAATCATTCAACTCAGATGTGAAACAGCTAAAACATGCAGGATGGTGTTCCTCAGGGACCAGGGTTGGGAACCACTGCCATAGTGAATATTTTTGGGGTAGACTTTCACAAAATGATTTATGACAGATCAAAACTATTCCCGTGCCCAGTGAAGTTACAGCTAAGATCTCCAACATTCTGCCAATATTTGATCGAAGAAAAGGTTTAAGGGGCTAAAAGAAAATAAAACCCAAACCTCCACATCTGATGAACATCCTTGATTAAATTTAATTTTGATTGTGGAGATTGTATGTGCTGATCTGAAAGCTGGGCCAGCCTCTGTGGACCGTCTGATTACAGCAGCACATCAGAGTCAGGAGGAACGTGTTTAAAGCTCGTGTTCTTTATTCAGAAGACAGATGTCCAACTGCGACAAAGCACCTTCTGAATCCACCGTTACGCTCAGGGTGAGGTCAGAAAATGGGAATCAGACGTACAGGGTGGAAATGTGGCTCTCAGAGACAGTGGGTCACCTGAGGAGCTACCTGGACAAACACAGGTGACAGAACGCCCTGATCCCGCGGTACCTTCATGTTCGCGTTGAGTTTAATCACGTTTGTATTTCTCTGCACCGCAGAGGGACTGACGGGTCTGGTTATGACATCATCAGCGCGTACCCACGACACAGCTTCAGAAATGACAACCAGACGCTTCTGTCGAGTGGACTTTCAGCAAATGCTACTCTGCTTCTACAAAAGAGGAAACACAAGTTAATAAACCAAGTTTGTGTGTGATGTGAAGGTTCTGCAGCTCTCCCACCACTCATAATCACACGGAGTGTCATGAACTCTGAGGTCCTGCTTTAGATCCAGAAACGTGACGGTAAGCCAGGCACTGTGACAAAACGGACGTATTACTTTCTAATAAAGTGATCAAATCTGAGTTTTTGCACAATTTCTATTTTGAAAACGTCTCATTTTCCAAGAATTTTTCATGCATTTACTTCAAACTTATTGAAAATGTAAGATGGTGTTCAGGCTTTTAGGTTGAAGCAGATGGCTGCATGTCCTGAGTCTGGTTCTGTTAAAGGTTTCTTCCTCATGAGGGAGTTTTTCCTTTCCACTGTCGCCTTCATGTTTGCTCAAGATGAAAGTTCTGCGATGCAGTTAAACTCAAAGCAGTCTGCTCCTCAGATAAATGTTATTAACTTACTTTTTATGTACATGAATGTTTCTGTTCAGTGCCCTGAGGTGACTCTTGTGACTTGGTGTTATATAAATAAACTGAATTGAATTCTGCATGCTCCAAATACTTCAAATAAACTAATGCAGGGCTGTTCAACTGGAGGTCCTCGGGCCAATTCCGGCCTGTGGGTGACTTCGGTCAGGCCCACCAATGAGTTAATTTAAAGGAAAAAAATGGGAAAGGGGGTGTGCTGTTTTTTGCATTTATGATTCAATGCAACAAAATAAACAAATTTAAAAGGTAACAGATCCTTGTAATATATGGTTCATTTACATAAAGACTAACTGCTGCATGTCCGGCCCCTGAGCAGCTGGCTCTCAGTAACTGTGGCCCCCTGACCAGTTTAATTGAATAGTCCTGATCTAATGGATGAGCATTTCTTGAAGGAATCTGTATCGCCCGTCGCCTTTCATGTCAGATTTTTCAACATCTGAGCTGGAGTCAAAGACGTTTGGTCAATCCCTAGAGGACTGTGTGACCTCGTGTGATCTTGAGAGAGGTGTTAGCAGCAAGAGTATATGTTAAGAGGAAACTACCAGCTACTACCACACCTAATGTAGTAGTATACTTGTACATTTGAGTTATTTTTATGATGGTCGAGGTCGCTAACCTGTAACAGACATCCTCAATAGATTCTGGTGATAAATGATTTGCAATAGTACCGTATGCAGCACAGTGTAAGCTTTTTTTTTTTTTACTTGGAGTGATTTGGGGTTTCTATCTTACCTGAAAACTGTAAAATTGCTCCCTTTAAGTAAATCTGATTTTTATTCTAAAAAAAAAAAAAAATCTACTTAACCTTATCAGAGTAGGGTACAACATATCATGACATAAACCCATGGCCTTCAGTGTAGTGATGGGAACACTGCCGGTTAAAAAAAAACTAAACTAAAATTGAAAACCAAATGTTGAAAATTTTTATTTCTAAAATATGCAAATACAAACAAAAACAAATGTATGAAAATATAAAATGTCTTCTGTTTTTTTCTTCCATTTTTGCAAAACATTTGAGATGTTAAGGCTGAAGTTTCAAAGAGAAACTTTGTGCTAGTAAAAGTTTTTAAAAGGTCCCATAAAACTAAATATGGCTCGAGCATTCCTCAGATGTTCTTCCCTTTTCCCAGAATGAAATTGTTGCATATTTTAAAATCCCTTTCTCTTCCTGTAAAGTGTCAAAGTTTCCTCAAGAGCTTTTTTTTTTTTTTCTCCAGATGAGAATAAACCCCCCCTGTAACAAGTCGGCCTCCTTACACGGGGAGAACCAGCTCCCTCTCCAACATCCTGTCACACGTACGCAAAGAAAAATCTAAAAGCCACTTTATGGGACCTTCACACATCAAAAGGGCGCCAACTATTTCCTAAAACATTAGCATGTTAAAACGCACCAACGCATCTGTCACACAACTGTCAAAACAAAAAATAAATAAATAATACTGGAGATTAATACCGTTTCTCATAGTATCTGTTATCCACTCTGTTGAACACAAGTCAACAATTAGAGACATGACAGAGCGAATCCTACAAAGCTCACCCAGAACTATTATTAGTTTGACTTTAAAACTACCAGAAAACAAAACAGAAAGAGTCTGGGCTGCTTCGGTTGCTGTGATATGGCCCACAGTTGTCTACATTCAGAGTCAGGGAATGTATTGCCTACTGGTTGACACACTGAGAGAAAAGGTCGTACTGGAAGAATTCAGCGCTTCAGTCGGTCTGAAATGACTCGGCGTGTTTGGAGCTGCAAACGTGGCAAAAGGCACATACTGGTGTTGGATGAGAGCGACGCCCGCAGCAAAGAGGTGCAAACCTTCACACTGCTTCGACCAAAGCTTCTTTGGTTTCAAACTTGTAGGCCCGTTGGTGTGAGAAGCTGATTTGGTATAAAAGTCGTTCTGTCCCAAACGTCACAGCTGAGTCTGTTACAGTGCTCACCCTTACAGTTCATGAGTAACAGTTCTTTGCAAATTCAGTTAAAAAGCAACAAATTAAATTATTTCCAGTTGATTGTCAACCACTTAAAAGGATAATTCCCCTAAAAAAAAAGAAAAAGGGAAATCAAAGTTTCAATAAATTAAACTGTGGGACATCTACACAGAAAGCTGTCCACCTGAGTGGAACAAAAAGCTTTAAGACTGTTTGGTAACTGATCAAAATAAACACAAACACTTAAAGAGTCAAGTATTAGAGGTAAGTCTTTTCTGTTAGCCCTTGGACTGAAATAGATTAACTCACAGGGGGGGTGGGACGGTTCTGAGCTACAGGCAGGCTTGAGACTCAATGTTCAGTCTTCAGGTGAAGAGAGTTGAAGCCCAAACCATTTGGGCTTCAGCTTGTCCTCATTTTGAGAAAATGAAGCAGCAGCCCTCTTTTAGACGTTCGGCCACCGCAAGGGAAAGACAAAAGCCTGAGAGGTGTGGAGATGACGAGGAGCTTCTGCGAGTCGTCACATTTATTGAGTGATGCAGTTTTCTCCCATGTCCTGGGCGTAACGGTCCAGTATGGCGTTACGCAACTCCTCAACGTCACGGTGGAGCTGCTGAGCTTCGACCAGCTTCTTCTGTAGAACGTCAGGTTCCATCCAGTCCTCTGGCTCTGCCACTGCTGGAGGTGCTGCAAAACAAACAAAAAGAAAAGGTTTGGCTCATCTCCAGTCTATTCTAACCCTTCGATCTGGTTAGGATCATCCACATTATTAAAAAATGAACTCACAAGTGAGGCCGAGCAGCAGAGACAAGTTGGGGTCTTGTCCCTGGGCTCTCTGGGTCAGAATGCTGCAAAGCGAGCGCAGGTCACTGAGACATGAAGCGATTTCAGAGTGAAGCCTCTGTGCGAGGCGAGCTCCTGCCGGCTGCAGGACAGAGGAGGCCTGGTTGGGTCCCCTCTGCTCAGGATCGCTCATCTGCTCCTGCAGCGTCAGGTTTTGCTCCATCAGTTCCTGGTTCTGAGCTGACAGCTACAACCAAAATCAGAGTTGGGAAAGGAGAAGTTATTTAGTTCTAGTAGAAGTTAGTACTTCGACAACCCACGTCAAATAACAAAACGAGGTATTAACATGTTAAATCTCACCTCCTTCATGGCTGTGTGCAGCTCCAACACGTTCTGCTCTTTGGTTAGCACCTCTTCTCTAAGAGCTTGAGAGCTGCTCTCTTCCTGAGATATCTGCTCCTCCAAAGCCTACACACACAAAAACTTACAAGTGTTAATGTAGGAGAAATGCTGAAAGCATCAATGATTTAAGTTAACTGAGGAGAACAACACCTGAATCTGAGAGCTGAGCTGTTCCATCATTTTATGCTGCTTCTCAATAACCTGCAAACATAAGAACTCAAGAATTAAAACTCCTTTCATAAACTATGAATCAACAAGAGGGAACTTTTTCTTATCACAGAATATTTCCTGAATACGATCCTTAAATTAGGTTAGGCAGCCCTTTGTGAAAACTAAATACAGTAGTCCCTCGCTACTTCGCGGTTCGTTTATCGCAGACTCGTGCTATTGCAGATTTTTAAAACAAGATTGGACATGACACACAAATGGCTGATTGATGGATGAGCCACACAGTCAGCATGGAATTTTTATTTAAAATAAATTATTTTAAATAATTGAGCACCTCCTGCAGCTTTGTGCAGCCCATACTGCAGGATAAACTTCCTGCTGCAGCTGATCAGCTGTTCACCGTGCAGAGCCGAGAAGTGGGCGCTTGCAAGTGGCAAAGAGCAGAGGAGGCAGGGAGCTGAAATCATGACACTCTGTACTCTTTTTGAGTGTTTACAGTTTAGAAACATTGTTTAGAATATTGCTAAAGTGTGGGAAGGATTTAAAACATCTTAATATATATCTATATAAATACTAAAATAAACTAATACTTACTACTTGCACTACTATTCATAATTCGCTGTTTTTCGTTAATCACGGGTCTTCAGGATACGGATCTCCCACGATAAATGAGGGATTACTGTATTAGAATTTTATATTTCTGCAAACATTCCTCATTTAAAAGACAAGTCTTTACTAAGACAAAACTTTTTAAATAAAACATTTCAAAGGGCTGTATGACAAATATTGTAAAAACACTTATTACTGCAAGATGTTTCTACAACAGGAAGCTACGGTAACATTATTAGGACAAACTTCACCAGGCAGCAACTACTCTGCTGACTCACAAAGTGCCACCGTGGATTAAAATTATCAAAACTTTTTTTTTAGGTTTTTTTTACATTTGAAACATTTCAGACTCTTCTATGTTCGAGATGAATCTAAAATGGTTGTTACCCCACACTCTTATGACATAAACATCCTCATGAATGCTGCTTGGCACAAACCTTTTTGAGTCTTTGCTGCTCTTCTCTCAAAGAGATGTTTTCTCCTCGAAGTTTCTCAAAATCCAAACAGGGAAGTCTGGCTCCATCCTCCAGGCCCTGCTGCACACGTTGCTGCATGCTGGAGGAGAAAGATAGCAACAGAAAACACTTACATTTATATATTTTTGCACAGGAAGAGGGGAGAGAATTCAGACGCTAACAGAAGGGGTGGTGTGTTTTGTACTCGGTAATGGTTGTGAGCAGGTCTCTCTCTCTGCGTTTCTGATCCTCCAGCTGTGCGTCTTTGTCCTGGAGTTGTGAGCGTGTCGTCTCCAGGGTGGCTTCCAGTTCCTTTACTGTCTCTTGTAGCCGAGCAACCTGCTGTTCAGACTCCAGGAGCTGAAACAAAGAGCACACAGACTTCATGTCCATATTCCAGAATTCATGCATCGTTAACAAAGTGCAACAGATCAGGACCGGTCATGGAGCAGACCTGCTTATTCTGGCTCTGGTAGTCCTCTAAGGTTGGCAGGTCAGCTAGGTAACGCTCCAGAGTTTCAATGCGCTGCTGGTTCTCCCTCTTCAGCTCCGCCTCTTTCTGACACTTCTTCTTTAGGTTGGTGATGTGTTTGTCTCGACTTCGGATCTGCACGCAAACATGGTACTATAATCAGTACTGGGTATTATCATTTATAGCCCACAGTCAAAGAGAAAACTCAAAGTGAAGACATGTGAGACTATTTTAAAATCAAATGTCTTGGATGACTTAGGTTTAAGCAACAATATTATTTTTGATATTGTCTCCTTTAAACAGTGGAGTAAAACAATTGCAGAGCTGTGTTCGAAACACAAAAAAGGAAAGATTATTGCAGTTGGGTTTTTTTTTTAGCCTTTTTGTATTAGTTGCAACATATGTGTTAGAAAAAGGCATTAGGTAAGCACAAACCCTCTCTTCCTGTTTCTTCATCTCTTCTGCGTGCCTCTCGCAGGCTTCCTTGAGACTCTCAGTGAGTCGGCGGGTCTCAGCCTCGACAGCTCCTAGTCTGCGCTCTGCCTCTGCTTTCTCCAGGGCAACGCAGTCCGTGCGCTCAGAAAACTGCGCTCTGAGGAATGCATTTTCCCTCTGAGCCTCCTGCGATGCCGCCAAGCAGCATAAGAGGGTTTTAAAGGAATGCAGTGTTGATCTTCTTAAAGCAGAGAGTGAGAGAATGCTTTCGTTACCTGGAGACGCAGCATGCACATGTCTGCAAAAGACGCCCCTCGACCCAGAAGGGCTCCATGGACTTGGAGCTCACTGTCCCTCAAACGCTGCTCCAACTGGGCCATATGTTGCTTCTGTCTGCATCGAGAACCGGACCGACAAGCACCGAGACAAACATAAGTCAAAATCTAAATGTTTTACTTTTACAATATCACAGTAAGATTTACTGAACTGCATCATTATAATATGATTATGTAAAAAGGTTTTTAACCCCCTTCTTTGGAACATGCCCTCATAAAAAAATCAAACTGCTGGACAAACCAACCTCTCAATAATGAGCTCCTTCTCCTTCAGCAAACTCTCGCTGGCTTTGACCAAAGCGTCCCACTTGCCAGACTCTGTGTGCAGAGGTGTTGTGTACAGAGACGGGCACTGGGTACCAACTCCTGCATTCATCAGCTGAAGTTTAAAGAGACAAAAACATGCAAACAGGATGAACGTCACTGACAGTTAAAGCTGCGTCATCGTACAATAAAACATGCAACTGTTGCCACGTGTATCCTTTTGATGCTTAAAACAAACTTAGCTTGTTTGATAGTTCACTTATTGTTACAAGTGAACAGTGACAACACAAAAGAGCCAACAAGTTGTAAAATAACTTGTTAAAAATGTTTCTTCTTTTTTTATAGCTACAATGATCATCATAAATATTGATAATATTAAAGTTACATGTGTTTAGACACTTGTTGGGTTACAGTACAAACTGATCTTTAACAGAGCTTTATGCTACAGGCTGAAAGGTGGCAGTAATTTATTGATCTCATGTCAGTTTACAAAAGTTTAGATCTACAAATAAAATCCTTAAATTATTTTTGCTAAAGTATTGTTTATATAGTTAACCTGTATAGTTTTAGACTGTTGTCAGAAACTATTTTTTTGCTCCACTTATGAAAACAGGATAAACAAACTGCGCTGGATTCTGCTTTAAAGAGTCTGATTATTCGTATACTTTCAAGATAAACTAACTTTTTACCACGTTACAGAATGTGATTTTTTTTATCAAATATATTTCACGATTCTGATCACAATGACAAAAACAAGCACAATTTCTTCTACCATCATAAAGCAGTCTTGTTGAGAACAGTTTAGAAATTTGTCTGTTCAGTCCTAAAAAAAATAAATTCACTCAGCGTCTGAATTGTTTAGCTCACGCTGTGTTCAGTGCACACATTAAAATACTGTTGAACTGTAGATATATACAGTTAGGAATATAGTTGGAATAAAACATATCTGTCAGGCTGTACAAGTCTTGTTGAAGATCATGCGATTTGATTCGTCTGATTTGACGGAGCCCGTCTTTGTGCCTTCAGGCCTCAATTATTGGCATGTTAGAGTTCCTGTGTCGACCTACATACAATATATTTGTACTGGAACTCCTTTACTAGTTCAGGTTTTAACACCCATAAACAATAGCTCCAAATGGTCATTTAAACAATCTTTATTTGTCCACAAAGAACAGATTTTCAGCTACTTAGCAGCTAATGTTCGTTGCTTCTGTAATAAGATCCATTCAGACAAATATTGTAAAGCTGTAACAAGTGAGAAAATTTAAAATAAATAAATACAATTAATAAATATAACAAATGTTGGTTTATTTGGTTGGGTGTTTTATTGGACACTTGCCTGCATCTGTTCGATTTGTAGGCGTAATGTGTCCAGCTGCTGTTTTTGCTGCCAGCTAGAAACTTCACTACATCTGTCCTGCCGCAGTGGATCGTAGACCTTGGGACCTGCCTGCTCTCGCAGCAGACCAAGAGGGTTTGCATAAACACCAGCAGATCCTGCTGCCACAGGCTGCCCACCTCTCTGATTAGAGGCTTCTGCTGTTCCAGAGAGGCCGGGCCGTGCTTCAGGCAGAACCTTAAAGCTGTGCTCCATAGCTCCTCGGTAAGCCTCAGACAAACTGTCTGCAGCGTCTCTAATCCCAGTCGTCTGTAACCTGAGCCTGACATCAGGACAGAACCCTCCCAACAAGACTGACTGGTTCAGAGTAGGTTCCACGGCAGGAATGTCAAACTTCTGGCCCTCGTCCACTCGTGTGTGATCTGTGGGGAAAAGTGAGTGGTCCAGCCCATTGACAAGACTGCGGTAGCGGCTCAGACAGTCTGATTTGGGTCCACTCGTATGATCACCTCCAACACCATCCTGAGCATCTAGATTGGGCGAAGATGCCGATTTAGAGAGCAATGAAGACTTTGATGTGGAGCCACTTGGAGTTCTTGAACCAGAAGACGACCTGTGACCATCAGCCGAGGATGCAGAGTCTTCCTGGCCAAACGTATGAGGCTTTGAGGCCGGTGTGCCGGCCGTGGATGGCATGACATGTGCAGTGGGGATGGGGATCTTACTGCGGATGGGCTGGAAGGAGGGGCTGCTGCTGGAACTGTGGAAATCTGAAAAAATAAAAGAAGAACATCAATGAAAATCACACTGTGTTAGAGGAAAAAACCCAGCTCAATCAGTGCAGATGATCACTGCAGGACATTTTCTCCATTTTCAAATCAGCAAAGTAGACGCAGCAGGGTTTATGGGTGGCCTATTTTAATGATGAGATGTCACCACTGAAATAATTAACAGTCTCTGACTCAACTCAGGGAGGAGGCATTTAATAGACCAGAGCTCAAAATAAATGCTCTTAAACTCATGATAAAAACAACTTGTGACACGTGTCAAACTAGTATTACTTTCTGCATAAACTGACAATTATATTTCATGTATAAATGTTAAACAATCCAAGAGATTTAAAGGTGTTTAGTGCAAATTTGTATCAACTTTCATAAAGCCTTTAGAAAACAGTTTAGCATGCTCTGATTACACAAGAACGTTTACACCAAAACTACTCCATTAGATGCAAAAATGTTAATTGTTATCTGAAATGATCAGATCACATTATACTCAAAGATCTTGGCAACGACTGAAAGACTGCAACCACCAGACATCTTTACAAACCTTAACCCAATTTTAGTTTAATTATTTACAAGAGAGTTACAAACCTGAGAGACCTGTTGAAGTTTGCAAGAGGGGAAGTCACTCCAACGCAAAAAACAAGTTAGCTTTAGCATTTTTTTTCTACAACTGAACTGAGGTTAGTAGAACGGTAGGATGATTCAAATCAAAACAGGAAACCGTTTCTGCATTTCCAAGCAGCATTGAAAAAACCTCTGAAGCTTGAACTGACGGTCTTGGAGCAAGCAAGCAATGTCTAACGTTTTGTTATTGTCCTGAGAGAGCTAAACCAGCCTGTACCAAACTCTGAGCAAACACATCCAAACAGCGTACACAGGAAAGGTTAGGGGTATTTATAACCCCCTCTCATGTTACAGAGTGATCTGTGGATACCGCTTATTTAGGCACCTTGCCTCCGCCCACTGTAACGCACATCACACGTGCCCATCCAAAGACAGAAACTGCTTTAGATATTTTCCCTTGACCAGTTCAAAACCACTATGCCATGAGACAAGAACCTGGCAACAATCACTGACCAAACTGAACAAGTAAAAAGGGTTAAACTACAGGTATAAAAAATACTATTTCAGAAACACAACTACTCTGATATCTCTTAAAAGGCTTTAGGCTTCACTGATTTATAACCAGATGGAGCAAGCCTGAACTATTCTGCAACAAGAATATTTGCTAATTCTTTGTTCAGCAGACATTCCTGCCTTTCGGCAGCACGTACCATGACATTGACAGGTTTTTGTTCTTATCGGTTTTAAAAAGTGACAAATAAGTACTAAAAACCTTTTTCATAGTCCACTAAACATCAACAAAGTATTTGTTTGATTTAAGAGTTAACTAATATTTTGAAAAGTAAATAATTCTGTGTCATGGCAAAGACAGTAGCAGTTACAGTCATTCAATCCGTTTATTCTGGATATACCTAAGTGGAGATTTGTGGAAAAAGTACTTTTTTCATTTAATCAAAATAAAACAACAATAGCTTAACATTAATAGCACCCCTTAAAACTTGTTTACCTAAAAATAATACAGAAGAGAATTCTCATTAAAACAATTAAAAGAAATACTAAACTGAGGGCTACTGTAAGCTGGTTGTAGCTGCTGCTGTATCTTGAGTTTCCTTATTGGTAATTGATTAAAGGTGTAAAAGCATGGCCAACAGCAAAGTTTTAAATGCAGCAAATTAAAATCAGTCTCCCTCTAGTTGCTGCCGTCTTAAAATGCCTGCAGTCATTAAAATTTCATAACTTTTCATGCTAATATTACTTTAAGCTTTTCATCACAGCCAGTTTTGCAAAACTCAAGTATACCAGGTAAAATATTAAATTCCTGCTAGATTTTACCTCTGGCTGTACTGGAAGTGCCACAGCTCAATGTTGCCACCACTGTTTATTCAGATAACAATAAAATTGTAAGTCAACAACTGTGTATAGTGAAACTGACTGTGATGCAAAGGTTTAAAAACATTAATAGCTTTAAAACTTAGGAATTAGGATTGTTTTAAGAAGGCAGCAATCCACTTTGGTCTTGGATTACCAATGGCTCAGACTAGGCATTAGCTCATCAGTCCAATTTGACAAACTGTTTCTCTACACTGCAGTTTCTTCATACATTGTTACTTTAAAATGGCTGAAATCTCTCTTTAAAAACAGACACAAAACAGATGGCAACAACGAGGCAAAGCCCAACAACTAATGTATCTGACAAGCCAGCATGTGCCTGAATACAACTTCCGTCCTTCTAGGAATGCTGCATTCAGTGATCATTGATTCTAGGACTTGTTCCACAACGTTACATATGTCAGTGCTACATACAAAATTGGTTCTGTGGGAGATACAAACCCGACGTTTTCCTACATCTTTCTAGCAAGGATGGAAGTTGAGCAGCAAATCTTGTTATTATACATCAGCATGTATTTGTGCAAAGTCCAGTAAAAGTGCCTACAACATAGCTTTGTGAAGCTCAAACCCCACGGATCCCAAACCACAGATAAATGTTCAGTCTGTGACTCTAGTGTTTCCTGTGAAAACAAGGAGCACCCATCCCAGCTGGCCATCAGACCATGATTTTTCCATTTATCATGTTCAAGCACAGCACAAAGACACCACCTCCCATGCCATTTAAAGCGCACAATGTAAATGACTGATTTTCCCACATCAAAGACAACATTATTTCTTGTTTAATTGTTCAGCAGACGTATCCCAAAATTTTAACCTCTCAATATGCCTAAAGGTCTTGGGTCAGCTGTGGCCAGAACTTAGCACTTTTATTTACAGTGCTGCCAGACCAGTGCTGTAAATAAAAATGTTTTCTCAGTGTTTATTCCTGGTAAAATAAAGGCAAAATTAAACTACTACTGTGGAAGTCTACAGCCTCCATATTGAGTCATGAGTTGTAGTTTTTTAAACCATAAATAGCCTAAAAATCACCCCCAACAAAGTATTTTCAATATTGGCAAACGAAAAGTGATGAAGATGAACTAACTTAGAAAGATCTAATATTGTCCTTTTGTACAGAGAACAACTATTCTGTGAAGTCCATGTGCGGACTACCATCAATCAAACATATCACAATATTCAACACTATATTACACAACACATGCAACACTAAGAGGAACAAGCAAAAGTCATCACCTTCAGTGCTGTCAGATGCTGAAGTGCCAATACCAGTGTCCACGCTGTCTGATGTTCCCGGCCGGCGGCCAAAGCGACTCTGGTACTTCTCTGAAACAGCTGGTGTCTGCCACTCCATGTCAGCGAAGCGACCTAATGTATGTTTGTGAAAAGGCACGATGACAGCAGAGTGATATCAGTACCAACACACGTGGAGCGGACACAACAGGTCCATGTTTTCACAGCTGCGGCTCAACTTACCATTTGGTTTAGATTAAAAATATCTGTGAGGTTGTCATACAAGTTTCCTGGTAAAAAAATAAAAAAAATAAAAAATACCATAAAACATTATTGGAAATGCACTGAAAATACAGTTCAGTGTTTTGCTTAGTGCAACAAAGATGACAGATTAGTAAATGTCTATGTGACTCAGTTACATTTGATTAGAAAAACACCTAAAACGTTACATAAAATTTAAGTTTCCAGTGAGTGTAATAAACGAAAAAGTAAGAAGTAAAACCTCTCGCAGCACAGTAAATAGCTGTTAGCTACTGACTGATTTGACCACATAGAAATCAAAATATGCCTCTTAACAACCTAAACAGACGTCTAAACAACAACTAAAATAGCACGATGAGCACTTACATAATCTCTCACTAAATAGTTGAATCCATACGTGGCTCTAAGAAGATGTGTATTAACTGCAGTAAGCTAACATAAGAACTAACAGCTTCACACGAAAAGAGAAATACGTGTCTCCGTGTTTAAACTAGTCCTCCTGGACGGCTAATTCAAAAAGGAAATAGCTCGTTAACCAGTAAAGATGAGCCCTGAGCTAACCCGCGAGTAACCCTTTCCAGAACCTGAAGAAATAACTCACTTCAAAACCGGAACTCAGGTCTATTAAAACAGCTTATTTCACATTCCCTGGTCTTGAGAGATTATATTTTTGTAAACAGTGATACGCAACACCGTTACTAATCCACGACAAATCCGTTTCCGTCGAACGAGCAGCTAACAGCTAACTCGGCGTTACTTAGCGACTGAAGTTCATGACATCCTTTACATTAGTCAGGTAGCTTTGGTACTTCACTTCAAACATAAGCTGTTCCTCAGCGCTGAAAAATATTTTTGCTTTACCTTGTTTTTAACATAAACGCTGAGTAATTCAGCAAATCTCGGTTCCAGGCTCGTAACTGATGCCGAATCTGTACCGTCCACTGCTGCAGCGGCTGTTGTTCTGCTAGCTAAGCTAACTGATCCGCTCTGATGCAGCAACGAGCCAACACACAGGGGGTTGCTTGTTTTATTGTCCGGGGCCGCCCGTTTACTTCTGAAAGCGTATGGAAATCGAGTGTATCGCTCCTTTTTAATATTCATTTTGCCGCATAAGTCAAAATGAGGCACTTTCATCTGTCACATGGCCAAATAGCACTGCGGTAAAAAATAAATAATAAACTAACCAACCCGACTAAAGACTCCAAGTAGGCTAGTACAACTTAGGGCCAGCAATTATCCGGACGTTTTAAAATAATATACATTTAACTAAACAGAGTAAATAATTATGGAAGCCCATTTCTACCACTTTGATTAAAAATACTCAATTAACTCATCGTTTTGAATCCTAAAATTTAGACTTAGCATCTCATAATTGTAACGACAAAATCATTCAGCAATCTGACTTAACATCTCTTCTAGATTCTAAGATATAATTTCAATAGTATTTCATAATTACAATTTAGAATATATTTTTCCATATTAACTGAGAACAATTTGAGTTTATAAATAAAAATGTCTAAATTTTATTATGAATGTAACAGTGGCAAAAACTGCACTAATCATAATCAATGCTAACGATTGTAATGTTAACCACAAAAATTGCTTAGATGGAATAACAAAAACATTATAATAATAATAATAATAACCTATCATCATTTATCATTATATTTAAACTTTAATTGAAACGTGTGCACATTTTCTAATAGCTACTGTTAAATACTGTACACTGAACTATTTTTATTTGGATTTAATTGTCATATTTAAATATTCATTCATTCAACCTTTATTTATACAGGTTAATCCCATTGAGCCTCTGGGACTCATTTACAAGAGAGCCCTGAAATGATGACAACAGAATGATGACAACAATAGGCAATTATAAAAGAAAGTATGTAAATAGAGAAGAATAAATGAAAGAAAAATGAAAAAAATGGTAAACAAAACAAAAAAGAGCTAGCTTGTAAAGCGGTGTACAATACTATAAACAGGAACATGTCCGCATTGGTTATTGCCATGAACTTAATGGTTGTTTATAATCCCTCAGAGAGGTCAAGGTCGAGAGCTTCAGATGTTTTTGCAAGATATTCCAGGAAACAAGAGCGGAGTAGGAAAAGGCCTTTTGCTTAGTTCAGTTCTCACTGAGGGAACACTGCAGGTAATAATGTCCTGAGAGCGCACGCTGTAGCTGCACTCACACAGAGACATGTAGAAGGAGATGTATGAAGGAAACAGACCAAGAAGTTATTTAAAGATGAAAATGTACCAGTGTGAGAGTCTGCATGAAGTTAATGATGACCAGTTAATTTCTGAAAAAGAAACTCAATTAAACTTTCAGTTTCTTTACAAAGTTTTCCATGTGGAGCTTAAAAGAGAGATGTGAATTGACCAAGATACCCAAATATTTGTAGAAATCTACAAACTCAATAGGAACACCATTCGAAAATGAAATCAAGGGAAGAACTGCTGGGACTGACTTCCTGTTTGAAAACAGCATCCTTTCGGGTTTGTCGGCGTTTAGGACAAGTTTGAGAAGGAACAAATCTGACTGGATGATGTCAAGATGGAAAAGCTTAGCAACTGTTTTAACTCAACAGTAAACAACTGTGTCATCAGCATAGAAATGTAAGGATGCATCTGGAATGATCTGACCTACATTACCTATGTAGAGTGTGAAGAGGGTGGTTTCTAAGGACTGAGCCTTGTGGTACACCATTGTTAACCGTTAAATTACTGGAAGAAACACCATTATGTTGAACATATCGCCTCCGATCTGAGAGAGAGTTAGTGAACCAACCAATGGTGTGAACTGAGAAACTAATTTCTGAGAGCTTATGACATAAAATGTGATGATCCACAGTGTGAAAAGCTTTATGCCCAGCATCAAATGCTTCAACGACATTGTATACACTGTGCATCGTATATGTAAATATACACTGGCTTTTGGCACTTAGAGGGCAGATGAGCTCTACATTTGACAAACATGTTCCAAAACACAATCAGTATATGTTAAAAAAGCACATTATTTTGAAAGGTGTTATTGTCATTTTATTTTACTTTATTTTGACAGGTCAGCGGATGTGCTTTTATTGTGAAACGCGCTCAACCCGGATGTGTTCCGCTTCAGCAGGCTGATCGTCTCTTTAGTGGGAGGAGGTTCGTGCCTAAGTTGGAGAATTTACGCGAATGTCGTCAGGCAAACTTGCAGAGCTGCGTTTGTAAATGTCGTCAAATGGACATGTCTTCACAGAAACCCTTTTTCTTGACGGAAAGCGGTGAGATTTACTCTGCTGTCACGTGTTACAGTTGAAGCGTAGTAAATATTTACGTTACCCGAAGCTAGCCTAATGCCAGCTGCTTGCTGAGCGAGAGGTCTCCTAAGGCTAAGGCCTGGTTTGTAGATGGTGAAGGATTGTGGGAAGCTAACAACCTTTTTTACAGTTTAAATCATTATTAGAGTTCTGGTAAACGCGATGGTCGTTTTGACAGAAGCACATTTGCTAACAGAAGCTAATCAGCTAACATCATGTTTGTTAGTACAGTTCAGATAGGCTAACGTTGTGTTTTTGTTTCATCTGAGGGCTGGTGCTTGTTATCAGTCATGTATGGTCTTTTCTGTGTTAATGCTGTTAATGATGTTTGTTTTTTTTTAGCTTACTCACATTAAGAGGAGTAAATGCCGTGTGAACCCTCCTGGACTGAATTTATGCTTAACCTGGGGTCATGAGTGCTGCCAACATCACCGCAGAAATCCTGCACAGGCAGATCAGGGTGAGTAAACAAATCCTAATGTGCTCATCAGAAGATTTTAGTTCTCATATTAACACTGTTATAAAGGAGCTGTCACTTTTGGTTTCTTGTGTACTGACGAGGATCTTAATTCACATCTACAGGACAAGAGAGCATCAGGCTTCCAACGGTTTTACCATGTGACCGATCCCTTTATCAAGAGACTTGGACTGGAGGCCGAGCTGCAGGTCACTGACTCTAGAAGATTTTATTTTATTTTTACAAGTTCCCTGTACTATTCTCACGTCCACTGTTGTCTTTTTTTCCACAGGGGCATACTGGCTGTGTGAACTGTCTGGAATGGAATGAGCGAGGAGAGTAAGTCTTCAGAGCCTAAAATTTCACTTTAGTCTCATTATAGCACCATAAGGTTTACCATTTGTTTTATCATAGTCTGTCTTCTTTATATGGACAGTGCAAAAATACTAAAAAATATGTATGAGCAGTTATGTGTACACAATTCTTAATTCTTTTACCCCCAATTTACCAACAAAGATTTTTCAAGAACCAGGAAAATATTGTTTATTAACATAGTAAGGTCATAAGTTGACAAGATAAAATGCTATCAAGTTTTCTTAAAACAGAATGAGATCTTTACATGGGGAACATTCAACAAGAACGGCCTGTTGTAACATGATTTCAGGGTTATATGTAGCAACATGTAGCACTGAAAATGTTGTCCTTATACCTTTCTAACTCTGTCATGTCAAGTCAGATTTATTTATAGAGCACGTTTAAAACATACTGTTACCAAAGTGCTTAGCAAAAATATCACAACAACAAAGTAACAAGATATATTTACAGCACGTGGAATAAACATATAAAACAGGAAACATCAATCAACCTTTATTTATACAGGTAAATCCCATTGAGCCTCGAGGACTCATTTACAAGAGAGACCTGATTTCAACAAAGAAAGATGACAACAATGGACAAGCAACAACAATAAACAGTTATAAAAAAGCATACTACAGTTTTTTTTTTTTTTTTTTTTTTTTAAACAAATAGGATGGCTAAAAGGAAAAGATAGCAAAACAAACAAAAAAAAAACAGCTAGATTCCAAGACAAATGTAGAAAACTAACAACAGGAACATGTCTGCATTGGACCCTGCCAGGAGTCCAACAGATTCTTAAAAACACTTAGAGAGGTCAAGGTCGAGAGCTTCAAATCTTTTTGTAAGATGTTCCAGGAAACAGGAGCGGACATAATAAACATAATTAGAAACAATGAAATACTAAATCAGATCGCCTTGTGTCAAAAGTCAAGGATTAATAATAAATAGCATAAACTCGGTCAGAAACAATGAAATGCTAAATCAGATCTGATGACCTTGTGTTAAATAGGAATAATAACAAAAAGCATAAACAGAATCAATGAAATTCTAAATCTAAATCCGATCACCCTGTGTTAAATGTCATTATTGGTTTTTGGGAGCGTTTTAAAAGTGGAGACTGAGGTGGCCTGTCGAATGTTGATGGGCAGATTATTCCAGAGTTGAGGGCCCAGTACAGTACAAGGACTTACCGTAACTGTGCTGCTGTGCATATCATGTGTCTGAGAATACATGATTTAAAATAAAACTAGTCTGAAAGAGTCCTAACAGATGTAACATGTCTTCTTGTGTTCTCAGTCTGCTGGCTTCAGGTTCAGATGATCAACATGCTATCATCTGGGATCCATTCAGACACAAAAAGCTCACAACTATGCATACTGGACATGCAGCTAATATATTCTCTGTAAAGGTAAGGATAATAATGGTACTTGCTCCTAAATCTGTTCATGCAGTTTTATGAAAAATGTTTTGGAAAACTTGTAATACGCCAGTAAGTAGAATAAATATATATTTTTTTTAAATTCAGCTGTTCAGACAAGTATATTGGGAGAGTTTGTTTTTACAAACAACTTAAATACAGTCGCAGGGAAAAGAGTCTACACTCTCTATTGTAAGGTTTCACTTATCAGAACATAAAAGTAATCTGGTCTTTACCAGGTTATAAAATTTCTTAAATCTAACCTGAGGTGTAGTTTCTAGTGTGTTATTACCATATATACTAAGCAAAGATAAAAAGGGGAAAATTGTGTGTGTAAAATCTAACTCCACCCTTGCTGTTACCATAGGGTTTTGGCCCTGTTTACATGAGAACAACCTCTGGAAACCCGAGTGTTTTTTTTTCATTGTTTATTGGGGGTAGTAAACAAAAAAAAAAGCGGGTTTAGTCGAAAACAGTTGGGTTGCCAGATAAGAAATTATGAACTATAGTGCTGTCACTTTAAAATAACAGTTTTTTATAACCTAATCTGTCATATGTGCTGAGTAAGCGTGTTTGTAAGATGAGGTGTGCTCGGTGTTCAATGAACATGTGCACAGAAAAGTGGGGGGGGGTAAATAAGACATTTTAAATTTATCTGGCAACTCTGGGCCGGGCTCAGTTGCATTCATCGTGCATTCAGGGTTTGCATGATCACAGTTGTCCAAACTGGTGAATACATGAACGTCTCTTTGGAATTGGATTTTATTAGTTTTGCTCTTACATGCTGAAAAAGGGTGAGTAGCACAAAAAAAACCCTCTCTGCCATTTATTATAACTGCTGCGACTTCACACTTGCAGAGCATTTCACACCTCCATGGGGTGGGGGGGGGTCCCCCTGAAAATCTCCACTCTGTACGACGGAGCTTTAGGGCCACGCTAAGAAAAAAAAGATTAAAAGCCATAAATTTACGAGAATAAAGTCGAATAACATCTTAACATTACAAAAATGAAGGCGTACAAGACTTCTTTTTTTTTTTTTTTTTTTTTTTTTTTTTTCAGCTTTTGTGGGGTTTTTTTTTCTTCCACGAGTCGGATCCACGACACGACCGGTCAATCAATCCAGTAGGCGTGTCAGCAAATGACCAATCCGAAGCTAAATGAGTCGTAATGTTATCTGAACTCCGACACATAAAGCAGGTTTACCACATCTTAACAGTAGTAAAATGAAGAATGTTGAGCATCTTGTTAAGTTATACTTTGGTATTGGTTTTACAAATAAGGAGATACCTGTAGTTAAACTGTCAGCACATCAGCATCAGTTTATTATCAGTGTCAGGACTTTGAACATGTTTACAGTAAGGTGGTGCGCTCTGATGGGCACAGCTCTCTGCAGGTAAGGAGCATTTAGCTTCAAACTGGTCATTTGCTGACACGCCTACTGGATTGATTGACAGGTCGCATAGTGGATCCAACTGGTGGAAAAAAATAAAATAAAAGAGAGCTGAAAAAAGGAAGTCTTGTATGACTTTATTCTCGTAATTTAATGTCTTTAAAAAAAAAAATTCTTAGTGCATCCCTAAAGCTCCATCGTAACTCTGAGACCTGGATTCAGAAACCTTAGGTTTCAGAGAGAATGAGGGCTGTTGTCGTGTAAATGAACGGCCGAATGTTTCACTCCAACGCCTCGTGTAAACGGGGCTTGAGTTGGTTGCAGCTCCTCAGACTGAAGAAGTCTTTTGGATAAAAAACAAAACGTTTCAATAAAGAAGAATCTGTCCAGAGGACCTGACTCAGCCTTGTTAGATTACTCTACCTGGATTACTGAGCATTAATCAGGACATTATGGTATAAAGTGTCCGTCTGTCCATACAAACATCTGTAAACCTTTCTCTCGCTCCACCCATAACTTCTGATCCTGAACATAATGTAATGGAACTACATACACATTTGTTGGAAGTAACTGGGACCCTGTGTACACAATTTCGTTCTACCACATGTGGTGCTTATGACAAATAAATAACCTTGAATCCTTGAATTTACATCATCACCGGATGGAATGTTGCATTTATTGGTAATCATCACAGCTTCAAGGTCAAGGTCACAAATCGAGGTTAAAGTTAAAACAAGGTATTTGCTTGTTGGGGCCATAACTTCTTATGTGCTCAAGATAGCTTATTGAATCTTGACTACATGTGTCACATAACTTTTCATCACTCCAGCTTCAAGGTCAACATCACAGATCAAGGTCAAATGCGACAAAAGGACTTTGCCTGTCTGGGCCGTTGCTATAGATTGCTCTATTGCTGAGTAGTAGTCCCTCTGTACTTCACGGTTTGACTTTTGCGCACTCACTGTTACACAGGTTTTCAACGTAAGATTGTACACGACCCACGATTGGCTGATTGATGGAAGTCGACCAACCAGAGCATTGTGCTCTGTATCCCGGGTTCTGACTGGCTCAGTAACCGCAGCATCAGCCTGTCTGCTCTCTTAATAAATAGAACGTCCCTACTTCGCAGTTTTTCACATATCGCAGGGATGTCTGGAATGTAACCTCTGCAATAAGTGAGGGACTACTGTATAAAAGATATAATGTGGCATGTGCAGTGTATTGGTCAAGACCAGAGCATTTTTATTACGTCTTGATTTGTAAAACCTTATAACTGAAAGATAGGGCTGTCTTAATCTGTGTCTCCCTCTAACACTGTTACCCTGTGATACATTGTGTATGTGTTCATTAATTCATTCTGTTGTGTGTGCGTACAGTTCCTTCCACACTCTGGGGACCGGATCTTGATTACAGGTGCAGCCGACACAAAGGTCCATGTCCACGACCTGACCATGAAGGAAACGATCCACATGTTTTCTGATCATACCAACAGAGTTAAACGCATCGCCACAGCTCCAATGTGGCCGAACACCTTCTGGAGTGCTGCGGAAGATGGCATCATCAGGTAGGAGCCCAGTGATGAATTAAGTCAAAGGAGAACTTTCCTTTAATTGTTATTTACACGTCATGCAGAAAAAGTCTCGTTACCGCGTCTGTTTGCTTACGGTACACACAACATACAGGCATCACCGCTGGTTAGAGATCTTTCTTTCATGCTCCTCCCTTTAAACGTCATGCTGTCAACTCAGAAGCATATCAACTGTGACTCATTGTGCTGTCGATTTTCTTATTTCTTACTGCAGACAATACGACCTGCGGGAGAACAGCAAACACTCTGAGGTTCTGATTGACCTTACAGAGTTCTGTGGTCAGCTGGCTGAGGCCAAGTGTCTAGCTGTCAACCCTCAGGATAATAACTACATGGCAGTGGGAGCTAACGGGCCTTTTGTCCGCCTCTACGACATCAGAATGATTCACAACTACAGGTTCACTCTTCTTCATGTCCTCTGCGTTGAAATACATGAGTTCAACTGTATTTAAGTCCGTTTTTCTCATTCCACAGGAAGTCTGTGAGTCAGAGCACATCAGCAGCTGTGCACACGTTCTGTGAAAGGCAGAGGCCAATCCCAGATGGTGCTGGACAGTACTATGTAGCAGGTGAGTGTATGGCTAAACTGTCTAAACTGACAGTTTTTGTCCTGATGCATGCTCAATAATCCAGGTAGAACAATCTAACAAGGTTAAGTCAGGTCCTCTGGATGGATTCTTCTTTGGTGAAATGTTTCATCTTTAATCCAAGACTTCTTCAGTCTGAGGAGCTGCAACAAACTCTGTCAACAAACAGCACCTTCTCATAGTAGATCAACCAGTTTGCTGCTGACAGCCAGAACTAGCTGTTTTCATGTAAAAGGAGGACCATCAGCCTAACAACTGATGGTTAGCACGCTAGCTATGTTTATATGCGCAACATTTTTTGACCGGATTGAAATGTTTTCAGATTAAATAATTCAAATGTATTGTTTACATGGGCACAATCTGTTCTTGACGAGCGTTTACATGCAGCAGGCTTTGTTCTGAACAGCAGTACTGACATGCGCAGAGTGGTAAACTCTTCTTAAAAAAAAACACAGAAGAAGAAGTTCTACTTCCAGGGTGAACGTAAACAAACTTGAGCACCAAAATGGACCCACGACAGGTTTTAATGACGGTGGAGACGTTACTGCACTCCCTGACTGAGCTACAGGTAATACAGATCATTTTGAGCTCTGTCAAAGTTTCTAGTAGAAATGTTGTGTCGCTCACCGACCAGTTTTGCTTCCCTGACATGCTAATATTATTAGCATTAGCCAGGCGGAAATGGCAAAGTCGCACATGAGCAGTCAGGTCAGTTTTTCACCATCAGATAAAAACAAACAGATCAGGCGTTTACATGCGCACCGATCTGGTCATGGATCGGCGTAAACCACCCGTTTCGTTCTGATCACAAATTATATTGGATCGTGCTGAATACACAAAAAATAACCCGAACGGAGTGTTTACATGACACACTTTTATTCCGACCGGCCATTTGATCCGGTTACTTATGTCCATGTAAACATACTTACTGATGGCTGCTTGCTATTCACAGAGGGCTGAGTGATACTAGCAATAACAGCATTGCAAGAGGGGGATAGTTGAATACGGAGGCCTCCGCCCTGTTTAATGATGGACAAGTTCCCTTCACAAAGAACAAACAAAGAGTAAGGAAGCCATCTTTGTGAAGAGAACACGTCCATCATTAAATAGGCGGAGACCTCCGTGTTCAACTGTCCCCCTCTTACAATGCTGTTACTGATAGTATCACTCAACCCCCTGTGAATAACAAGTGGCCATCAGGGCACTAACCATCAATTCTTAGGCTGATGGTCCTTCTTTATCATGTGAACAGCTAGTTCTGGCTCTCAGCAGCAGACTGGTTGATCCACTATGAGAAGGCCTGTATCCGCAATCTCATTCTTTCAGTCACTACCCAGAGCTCATGACCATAGGTGAGGGTAGGAACGTAGACCGACCGGTAAACAGAGAGCTTTGTCTTACAGCTCAGCTCCCCCTTCACCACAACGGACCGGTACAGAGTCTGCAATACTGCAGATGCTGCACCAATCCGTCTGTCAATCTCACGCTCCATTCTTCCCTCACTCGTGAACAAAACCCCAAGATATTTGAACTCCTCCACTTGAGGCAGAACCTCACCCTCGACCTGAAGCGGAAGATAAAGGATGGATGGAGTTTGTTTCAGCTCCTCAGACTGAAGATCTTTTGGATAAAAAAAATGAAACGTTTGAACAAGAAGAATCCGTCCAGAGGACCTGACTCAACCTTGTTAGATGACAGAATTTTTGTAGTTCACAAGTTGGAAAATGCATTTTGTATGAAAGTTATTTGAGAAAGATGTGGGTAAATAACATCATTTTATCTTGTAAATGCTTCTTCAGGGCACCTTCCGGTGAAACTCAGAGACTACAACAACCGACTGAGGGTTCTGGTGGCCACTTACGTTACCTTCAGCCCAGATGGCACTGAGCTGCTCGTTAATATGGGTGGAGAGCAGGTGATGTCTGTGCGAACAAGAAATGAGACGAGTTATTACAGTTCTTTCATTTCCCAGCTTCACTCACAGACACAGTGCTGTAAGGTTTGAGTTGTTTATTTCTATGCTTCCTGCAGGTATACCTGTTTGATTTAACGTTTAAGCAGAGGCCATATACCTTCCTCCTTCCAAAGAAATGCCAGTCAAGTGCAGGTAGTTCTATTCCATAATACTGAGTTTATATAAATGTTATCAGAATGCATCATGCTTTTGTTATTTCTGCAATTTCTGCTCTCCAGAAGATGTGCAGAATGGAAAAACAACAAACGGCGTCTCCAATGGAATTCTTCTGCCTGCCAGTCATATTCACGTAGCTGGAAGTAAAATGCACGCTAGGTAATGGTATTCATTTATTATTTTCCTGTTAGTATTTACAATTTTGTAATCTACTTTCTGTATCTTCTTAATCCCACTTTTGGCGAAGTTCATTGAAAATGTTTACTCCTTCCTCTCACCTGTGTAGTTCTCTCGAGCTTCCCCCTCACTTGGAGGAAATCAAGCAACAAGCTAACGATGCATTTGCTCGCCAGCAGTGGACTCAAGCCATCCAGCTGTATAGCTTAAGCATTCATCAGGCCAGCAGCAACGCCATGCTATATGGGAACCGTGCTGCAGCCTATATGAAGCGCAAGTGGTAGGTGTCTGGTTATTTTTAAAGAAGCAATTTATAATCTGGACCTAAAGGCTTTAAAGTCATTTATTTATAGTTTGTATGCGTGTTTCCCAGGGATGGAGACCATTATGATGCCCTGAGGGACTGCATGAAGGCTCTGACATTAAACCCGGGACATCTGAAAGCACATTTCAGGCTCGCACGGTGTCTGTTCGAGCTGAAGTATGTGACCGAGGCTCTGGAGTGTCTGGATGATTTCAAAGGGAAGTTTCCAGAACAAGCTCACAGCAGTGCCTGCGACGCCTTGGATAAAGACATCAAGGCTGCTCTTTTCAACAAATCAGAAGCTGGTAGGAGACGATCAGACACCGCTTGGTTTATTTGCAGCTGGAAAATTGATACTATACATTTGCTTATTTCATAGTAAAGAGTATTTTTAATAGGGAACAGAAAGATGTTTTTAAAAATCTATAAACGTCTGCACACGTTTGTTTATTGGAAGACAACTTGCTAACAATGGTGTCAAAAGAAGTGCAGCGAGTGCCTATCGATATTTGTGCAAAATTATTGAAAATGTAAACCAAGAAATGGAACATGGCGTTGGAACTTTCTTGTTTTGTGAAATCAAATCAAGGCATCTGAAGCAAAGTAGCTCACATTAAAGTTTGTTTACTCCACCAGAAATCAGTGCAACATAAAAATACAGTAAGAGAACTAGTTTAAGTATTAGTTTAGCTGTTTTAAGTTAATTGTTCTTTATGAACAAACGTATGAACGACTAATTAAACACAATTGAACAAACTGCGGCGTTGTTTTTGCCTTCACCAGCAGAGGATAAGAAAAGCAACAGCTCCGTCCGATTCCACTCGTTCAGTCGGAAAGAGTCCATTCCCGAGGATGAGACTGTGTTGAGGGAGCGCAGTTTTGACTACAAGCACAGATACTGCGGCCACTGCAACACCACCACGGACATCAAGGAGGCCAACTTCTTCGGCAGGTTGGTACATCTCGCTGACACCAGGGGGAGATCTTCAGCTGTGTAATCAAATATGACTGGATCTTAATCTCAGCCTAAACAAAACTCAGTGCTTCAACTAATAATAGGCAGTTACAGCCTTTTGTCTTTGCTCAGTCCACCCATTAAACATCCACAGTGCTGGTGGGAAAACTATCCCTGTGGTTTTAGTCACTGACGGCTTTAACCTCAGGCCTCAGCTGCACAACCTGCAGAACAGCTTTGTGTTTCCTCTTAGCATTCAGGCTCTGCAGTTTATACAGTTTAGGTCCAGATTTGATCCTTTTTTAATCCATGTTCTCTTTATGTCGAATAATTATCAGAAAATATTGGAAACTGGTCACATTGTAACAAACTAGTCTTGATTTTGTTCTATTTATTTTCTTATTTTAAACCGTGTTAGGCAAAAGAAGCAATAATCACAGAATAAAACAAGACATGGAAGACAAGTGGTGAGACCAAACAACATATGAATACTAGAAAGATTCTGGAGGAACTTTGACAGGGACTGCCAAGTTGTGGCAATTTTTAAAGCTTGATTTGACAGTGCTTTGCGTTGGGGTTTGCTCAGCTTCCACCATACCAAATTTCAGCTCAGTATGGCAAAAAATCAACAAGTTATAGTCATTATTGCTTTAAAGCTATGGTGGCCATCTTGGATATTTAATTTGGATTCAGTGTGTGATGGGGAACGTTCTCAGCTATAACCTCACCAAATTTCAGCTCTATGTGTAAAAATAGCTGAGTTAAAGTCATTTAAATGTAGCTTTAATGGCCATCTTGGATTTTTTTTATTTATTTATTTAAATTCAGTATTATGCATTGCTCTCAGCTACCTATACACCAAATTTCAGCTGAATAGCTCTAAAAACTGCAGAGTTATAGCTATTTGAAATTAGCTTTGGTGGCCATCTTGGATTTTTGATTTGCGTTAGGAATGTGTACCAGTAACAACTCACTCTCAGCTATGGCTGCCATTCTACAGTACTGTAGAATTAGGCAGCCCCCAAGTAAGCATATTAAAAACAGAAACATGTTGCGTGGTGGCATGTAACTTTGTGAGTGTACAAATCTGTTATAGGTAAGATTTCAATCATTTGAGTATTAAAAATTCTAATGGGTAATATTAAGAAACACCAGTAATAACTATACAAGTGTTAGTATCTTTAACAGTAATTATGATGAGAAAAAATATATATAATGTGCTCCAAACCAGGTCCTACATCCTGCAGCTCAGGATGCTCCTGCAACTCTTTGGCCCCCCTGTATTGGCTCTCTGAAGCTTTGATCAAAACTAACATGGACATGAATAATATTTATAACCAGATTAAGAAAGCTAGCTCACATTCATACACTGAATGGACACACATCAGAGGCTATGAGGGGTTCAGTGTCTTGCCCAGGGACACTTCAGCATGTGACTGCTGGTGGATTCGAACCCCCAACTCTCGCATTGGAGGACGACTGCTCTAACCACTCAGCCACAGCCGCCCAAAGAAAGAAAGAAATGTAAAATTACTAATAATTGTCTCCAGTTTATTATTGTTCTTGAACTTTATAGATGCCATTTCTATGTGTACTTTTTAAATAAGCTGTATGGGAAAACTTAAGTCCACCCCAAAATTCAGTAGTTTGTAGAACCATCTTTAGTATAATGTACTCTGAGTAGTTATTTTCTGTATGATTTTATTAGTCTCTGACATGGTTATGGAGGAATTTCGGCCCACTCGTTTTGACAGTTCATTCAGGTTTGCAGACTTTTGTTTCTTCACGGCTCTCTTAAGGTCCCGCCACAGCATTCCAACAGGTTGAAGTCTGGACTTGACTAATTGCAACACCCTGAATTTTTGTCCCTTTTTCAGCCATTTTGTGTAGATTTGTTTGGGCTCATTATCCTGTTTCACCATGGCCCAATATTTTGGTCCAATCTTCAGTCATCGTGCAGATGGCCTCACATTTAACTCTAGAGTATTTTGGTGTACAGAGGCGTTCACGGTCAGCTCAGTGACTGCAAAAAACATAAACAAATACTGAACCAGATGTATATATTTGAAAATCACGTTTGGTAGCACTGACCGTCCTCCTTCTTCAAAAGGTACTATTTTTCTAGGACCTGCAGCTCGGTAGAGCGCCACCTGACATGATTGACATGACATTGACCAATCAGCTGAGAGGAAGAAACATCCGGTCATAATTCATACTTGCAAGTTGAAACTCACACCAAGTTAGGAAACTCGAGCTTTACAGTTTTTTGCTTTGTATTTGTAAGCAAATCTTAACAATAACAAAAATTGTAACTCGTGTAGTTATGTTTGACCAATACAAATGTTTTTTATACACACGTAATTTCTTATGCACAAAGATGTAATTTTCAGACATTTTGGTTTACAAGGTGCAAAATGTATTCACACCTACACATTCTGAGTGACGAGCACAAATTATTATGACTGGAATTTGTGCCCATAATGCAGCTCTTGGCTGTTAGGAATTTGTTGGGACGTTCGCTTCTGGGAAGGTTGGTAACTGTTTTACGTGGTGTTCATTACCGTAATTTTTGGACTATTGAGTGCACCTGACTATATGCCACGCCCACTAAATTTAAATTTTTTTCTTTTTTTTTTACATATATAGGCCACATTTGTCTAAAAGCCACGGTTTTCATGTTGTAACATGATATATTTACAATGAAATATTTTTTTTTTACTTTTAATTAAATAGGTGCTGGTAGTATATACAAATATATACAGAAATAATTTTTTTTTTCTGAACAGTGCCTGTAACATGGCTGGTTAAAAGAAATACAGTAGCCTACCAGGAAGTCAGTGAACACTATTGTTATCTCCATCATGCAGCGGCCTTTTGAAACCCGTTTTCCCTCCCTCCCTGAGGGCACACGGGGAGGAGAGAACAACCCCCCCCCCCCCCCCCCCAAGAGACACATGTATTGGGCAGCTCTGTGAGTGCCTGCGTGTGATGAGGCTAAATGTTTTTGTGGCATGAAAATTGTTAGCCCGTCAAAAAAAACAAAAAAACATCCATGACTTAGCCGCGGGGGTTCAAAGTGTGTGGAAAAAGTAGTGACTTATATTCTGGAAATTATGGTAGTTAAGAATTGTTTTCATTGTAGAATGAAGAACCACTTGTTTGGAAATACAGTAGTCCCGTGATTATCACAGGGGTTATGTTCCATACACCACTGCGATAGTATTCATATACGTTTTAGGGCTTTATAAACCCTTCCCACACACTTGCAATGTTCTAAACTCTTAAACCTACATAATTTTAACAACATATGTATATGTACTGTACAGTACTGCAAAATTTTACTCACCAGCTTTGCAGAACAGCAGCTCTGTTCCGTTTCTTCAGACCTACCCTGCAGCGATGAAGTCCACCGCCCCGTCCGTCCAGGTTGATGTGCACGTGGATAATTGAACTTCAGGATTATTTGCAACTTTCCTGCCAGTTCTGTGAGCTTAATAGATCGATCGTTATGTCTGACTTTGCGTTGCAAAGCTTTCCATTTCGGCATAAAACGGCAGCCAGAAGCACTTTTGGCTTCTGGGTAGTGTAGTTCTTTTGACTGGCATTACAGTGTAGCTTATTGGAAAAAAAACTACAAAATGGCAGTGCCTGTCTGAAGTTGTTTTTTTTTTTTTTCGTTTTAACTTTTTATCCTGTATCGTCCCAATCATGTGAGTAATATTATTAAAGTTGACAATCATTGAAAAACAGCGAAAGTCGAACCGCGAAGTAGCGAGGGACTACTGTAACATCAAAACCCTTTCTAGAATGATGAGCATCAACAGTCCTGATGTCTTTTCTTTTTGGCGTTGTGTTAACACACCTGTACGTTCAGACCAACAAAATGCTAAAAACTTTTTTTATGGAGGTGGTTATTCTGATAGTGATCAGTGTGAATGAGTTGATACATTTGATTAGCTGGCTGCTACTTTCCCTTCGAAGTCCTTAGAAGCAGCAAAGTGGACTTGGTATTTAATTCAGCTTTTCTATTTTTGCTTTGTTTTGGTTCAGTAAATAAGGACATGGTGGAATCTGTTTATTTTTATTTTATTTTTTGGGTTTTTTTACAATTGAAGTCAGAATTAACACATTTTAGAACCTGTTAAAGATAAAATCATGTTTATTGTGTCCAGATACATACAATTCCAGAAGTGGACTTTTTTCCTGCATGACTGCACACCATAATGTGTTATTATTTTAGAAAATGACACACTGTTGCATAACCTTCACCTCATCTGCACTTTCTTATCGCCTTATTTAGTTGAACGATCTGCGTTACAAAAGATTTGTTTGCAGTTGTTTCTGAACCTAATTTACCAGAATATCCTGCTCTGTTACTTCTCACATCTTAGACCTTTACAGCATTCTGTTGGAGCGGTTCGATGAAAAAAGGTTGTGCACTTTTCCAAGTAGAATGATTTAAGATTCTCCGTAAATGTTCGTCAACCCAAGAAGTAGCAGGTGCCAACAAGCAGATCTGAGCAGCTTTCTTTCCTCTTTTCAGCAAAGGTCAGTATATTGTCAGCGGCTCAGACGACGGCTCTTTCTTCATCTGGGAAAAGGAGACGACTAATCTGGTGCGGATCCTGCAGGGCGACGAGTCGATCGTAAACTGTCTGCAGCCCCATCCCAGTTACTGCTTCCTGGCTACAAGTGGTATTGACCCTGTGGTTCGATTATGGAGTCCCAGACCAGAGGTAAACAAAGTGTACTTTTACAGACATGACAACTACCCCCCCAAAATCTGAAAAAGGGGGAACATTGTTTAAAACGTAAATAAAAGTGGAATGCAGTGATTTGCAAAGCTCATAAATCCATAATATGGAACATAAAAAAACATATCAAGTATTGAAACTAAGAAATTGTACATTTTGAGGGGAATCTTGCATTTTAAGGCAACACACCTCAAAAAAGTTGGGTCAGGATGATCATGTTTACCGCTTTGAAGCACGCCCCCCCACACACACACACACCTTTAACAACAATCTCTAAATGTGTAGGAAGTGAGAAGACCGGACTGTTGGCATGTTTGTAGGGGAATGTTGTCCCATTCTTCTTTAATGCAGGATTCTAGCTGTTCAACAGGTTGAGTGGTCCCTCTCCTTATTAGTAAGGTGTCTGTGATTTCCAGACAGGATTTAAATTTTAGATTTGTCTGACCACAGTCCAGTTCTCCGCTTTGCCCTAGTCCGTTTTAAATCAGCTTTGGCCCAGAGAATTCTGGATGGAGTTTAAAAATGGCTTTTACTTTGCACGAGAGTTTTAACCAGCGTTTGTGAATGGTGCAGCAAGCTGTTTACAACGACTTGCACAAGTGTTCCTGAGCGAATGATGTCCATAGCCAGGCCTGTTTTTAAAGACGTGCAGCCTTAAGGGCCTGAAGATGGTGAACATCCCAACTTTCATTCTTGTCCTTTGAACAGTTTTCTCCTGGTTCTTTAAAAAAAAATAAAAAATTATATTATAAACTGCAGATGATGAAATGCGCAAAATTTTCCCAATTATCGATTGAGGAACGTTATTCTGAAATTGGTTCACTATGTTTAGATGTGGTTTTACACAGACCGGTGAACCTCTACCTATTTTTACTTCTGAATTTTATTTTATTTTTTTCCGTTCTGTCTGATCTGTGGCCCATTAATCAAATTACAGTAGTCCCTCACTACTTCCCGGTTCGTTTATCTCGGACTCGCTCTATCACAGTTGTTCAAAATAAGATTGAACATGACACACAATTGACTGATTGATGGATGAGCCGCACGATCGGCATGTAATTTTTATTTAAAATAAATTATTTTAAATTATTTAGCACCTCCTGCACCTTTGTGCAGCCCATACTGCAGGATAAACTTCCTGCTGCAGCTGATCAGCTGTTCACTGTGCATAGCGGATAAGTGGGCGTGGCCAAGAACGCTTGCAGCTGGCAAAGAGCAGAGGAGTCAGGGAGCTGAAATCATGACATTCTGTGCTCTTTGAGCGTTTAAAGATTAGAAACATTGTTTAGAATATTGCAAGAGTGTGGAAGGAGTTTAAAATGTCTTTTCATATATATATATATATATATATATATATATATATATATGCCTGTCACAAATCAGTTAATCGCATGATAAATAAAAATTATCGACAGAATTTGCATTTATCTGCTTTATTGTTTCTTCATGTCTTTCTTTCTAGTGAAGACACTGGATGATTAAAAGCTCAACTCTGGTGCTCTTCACTGACCCCTCCCTTTCTCTCTACTCTTTAAAATCCGTTTAACGATCCAAAATTTGTTTTTGGATCGTTAAAAGCAGCTAAGCTGAGAAGCTAAGCTACGAGCTAAGCTAACAAGCCGACCTTGGGGAAAAAAACCTGTCTTGTCGAAGCTCCAAAATTCACTATTGAAACCCATGTCTTCATGTAAAAACTTGTTTTTCTCTGCAAAAAGAAACTGAGAACTTGTTTACTGATTTAAAAATATATATATTATTAAAAGTTTTGTGTGGCAAATGCTATGCTAAAGACCTCAAACCACACCGAGCATCTGCCATTTTGAGAACCGAATAAAGGAAGGAGAGACAGCCCATGTCATGTCAAGGGGCCTCCCTCCCATTTTTCTTAAAGAGACACGCTGCTTGCTCCCTCACTATCCATCCTTCGGTTCAGTCTTATACTGTCATCCGGTGGTCAAAAAAATTTACTACACGCAAAACAAATTAACCAACATTTCTTCTTAAATTTCACAACAATTACAAATTATTTTCAAATTTCAAACATTATCGTTTATCGCAATAATTTCTGAGACAATTAATCACCCAGCAAAATTTGTTATTGTGACAGGCCTAATATATAATAAAATAAACTACTACTTACTACTTGTACTACTACTCCTACTTCGCGGTTTTTCACTTATTGCGGGTCATCAGGGTACGGATCACTTGCAATAAACGAAAGACTTCAGTAGTTGCAAAATGCCCCTTTAGCTGTTTCTCATCGGTCACACTTTTTTAGCCCTTTATGCCCCAAATTTGACACAATAGTACAATTTCTTAGTTTGAACATTTGATATTTTTACAATGTTCTGTTGTTACATTTCATTTACATTTACTTTTTAGACAATGTCCCAACTTTCTTAGGCTTAGGATTGTATTTTGCCATTAAAAAATGTGATGTTCAAATACTGTTTGATCCCCTTTGGGTTTTTTTATTTTTTATTTTTATGATACAGACGGACAGTGAGAATGGACGTGTCGTGGAGGACATGGAGGGAGCTGCTCAGGCAAATCAGAGACGCATGAATGCCGACCCTCTAGAGGTGATGCTGCTGAACATGGGCTATCGCATCACTGGACTGCGTGGTGTGGGTCCAGATGGTTCAGACGATGAAGACAGCTCAGAGGGACAAGTACAGTGCAGGCCGAGCTAAACGGACAGCTGTCCTTTCTGCAGAGTGGATTCAGGAAGCAAATCAGTCCCCCTGCTCCCGTTGGAAACCCCACTTCACGCCTGCTCTGACAGAACGAGTGAACATCGCATCACTGCACTATGCATCGCCCTCTTGTGAGACCATGTGAAGGGAGACGGACTCACGGAGAGTACAGAGGACACCCTTCTCACCTTTTCAGAGCACGAACACCTCGGCCTGTTCCTCCGAGCTGCGGTGGCAGGTGGACTACTTTATAGAGCACCTTCCACGTCACTCCACAGGTTTTCACAAACAACCACTTGGGGCTTTTGTTGGAGGGTCAGGCGACATATTTTCAGGTCAGTATGGCTGCAGATGCTTCACGTAGGAGCAGCTCATGAAGCAGATACCAGGTGTTTTTTGCATCTTCTGTTTGTTCGTATCGAAGAAGCAAAAGCAGTCTCTCGTCAAAAAGCTGCAAGTCAACAGTTCCTGAGTTGGACTCGGTCGTGTTTTTAGTTGGAGTTTGTTGCAGGAAGCCGAGAGCAGATCGTGTTAAATTGTCGCTCCGTGAAATGTAATTATAAGCTGTGTTTAATTTAAAAAAATGGGGGTTTCTGTTGCCAAAGGTCTCCATCTGTTCTCTAAACAGCCAAGGAATAACGTGTGGTTTCTGTTTTTGTCACACAAGTTTTAATATTTTTTAGTTAAGAGCTTAAACTACTAAACACGTTGTTTACAAGAGGCAACAAGATAGGGGAGAGAAATTATTTGTAACAAAAATAACATTATAATAAATCTTTTGCCCCACTTTTTTGTCCCATTTTTTTTTTTTTGCACCCATGCTTTTTGAGATGAACAGTAAACTTTAGTTGAGTGAAAGTGGGACACCTATGCTAATTTGTGTAAAATAATCACCTGGGGCAAATAATTTTAAGGCCATAGGGCTCCATGCTGTGTCATTATTCCTCTGCTGCAGTAAAGTTGCATAAAGCATTTCTGCACGAAGCATCAGGCCCTCGGAGAAGAGCTCATTGAGTTTTTTACATGTTGTTTCCTCCACTTTTAAGGACAACAAATCTATGAATTGGATCTTAGCATTTGAACCACTTGGCTTGGCTTCCATGGGTTTTACTTTGATTTAAAGTCCCTTGTTTTGTCTATCTCTTAGGGATCTTGTCGTTTCCCCTTGATGAAAACAAAAGACTAAAATAAAAATGATTAAACACATTATTGGTCTCTTTTCTTCCAGGTGGTTGATCCTTTTTGTTACAACGTTCACACAAGCGAGACATGAGCTCAGTCAACACAAACTGGGTTAGGAAGATGTACCGTTGCCGACGCTGGGTCCGCTCGTTCATCAGTGTCTGCTCCTCTCCGTGCTTTTTGCTGACTGCTACACAACAGATGTGGGTGTCAGGAGTTAGGGGAGCTGATGCCCCATATACTGTAGAAATGAGGGTATAAAGGAGTAGTGCTGGCATTATTGCTGACTGGGGATAAAATGTTAGGGAAAGTTGATTAATGGGCAGACTGTGTGGTAGTGCAGTGGTTAGAGCTCTTGCCTCACAGAAAAGAAAAAACACTTCTTCCCATGCATGCGTGGGTTTTCTCCCACAGTTTAAAAAGCATGCACGTTGGGTTAATTGGGGATTCTAAATTGGACTGGGTGTGAGTGTGTGTGCGTGGTTTTGTCATCTTTATGTGGGCCTGTGCTGGACTCTCAACTTGTCCAGAGAGGACTCCATTGACTCCTGGGATAAGGTCCAGTTTCCAGTGAAAGCTGAACCAGGGTGATCAGATCCCAACCAAGCAGCTGGAGGGCAGCATGAGGCCTTTCATAGGGACAAATGCTGCACAGGTTTTCTGAACAGCTTAAATGTTTAACTTTAAAATGTCAAGTATATTTTTTTTACTTTCCCAACTTCTTTCTGTTCATTAGTGTTTTTGTTAAATGGCATGTTCTAGTTTAGTATTACATGCTGTTTGGTAGGTGCAGGTTATATAAAAAAAGATATATCTCATTTATTTATTAAAATGTATTTAAACGGGGACAGTACATAAAACACACATACATAGGCCTATCCAAGGGCTGAGGTTAGGTTTTATTAAAAAGAAGGAAAAAAACATATCTAAAATCTAATGCAGAATAAATAAAATCATTTAATATAAACTATAAAACTAAACATACATCTACCAAGAAGATTAGATAAAATTTTGAAAAGTATAAGGTTAATAATAAAATATATAAATCTATTCCCTTATACATATAAAAAAGCAAAATAAATATATACCCATGTGTATTATCACACACACACACATATAATATATATATATATATATATAATAAAATCTACTTTATATATTTTATGTTAAAAAAAATGTGTTTGAAACATGAACCCGGTGGTGATGCGTTCAGGGACCCGGATATTTTGTCGGACTGCGTGCTTCCGCCTCCACGCTGTACGTCACTGACAGCTCCACACGTGACTGAGGCTGTGATGGCGGAGTTGGAGAACAGCGACATAATGATGACTTACCACGGAGATTTCCTCAAAAACGAGAGAAAAAGCAGCCGCTACCCGCACTGCATCGTCTGGACCCCTATTCCCATTTTATCGTAAGAAGCTTGTCCAATATTCCTGCTCGTGTTAGCGCGTCTTATTGCTTCTGCTATTTTATTTTTCTAGTTCCCCCCCCACACACACACCTTTGCTTGAAATGCTTAGCAGCTGATGTGTCCTGTTGTATAAATGAAGGTAAATGAGCTCGTGCTGCCCTCCATCCTGCAGGTGGGTGCTCCCCTTCATTGGTCACATGGGCATCTGCACCTCCACCGGAGTCATACGGGATTTTGCAGGTTCCTACTTTGTCTCGGTGAGTTGTGCACCAAACGTGTAACTTATTTTGTGACCAATAATTAAAAACCACAGTGCACGGTTTAGATCTCAATATTAGCATCCCTCCAAGTAAAAAAAAAAAAAAAAAAAGTTAACATCCTTCAAGCCTTTATTTCTTGTAATTTTGATGATTATGGGTTACGGATGATGAAAACCTATTTGTGTCTCAGAAAATTAGAATATGGATAAAGTTCCATATTGGACACACATGCACATGAAAGCTGGTTCTGTGTTGGGAACGGAGCTGGAGTCCCATACATCGGTGGCAGAGAAAAGGGCCCTCAGTAAGCTGCTATCCATCATGGACAATGCTGACCATCCTCTGCACAGTGCCATCATGAAGCAGAGGAGCTCCTTCAGTAGTAACTGCTGTCCCAGTCCTGCTCCATGGACAGATTCAGGAAGTCCTTTGTCCCTCAGGCCATCAGACTGTTCAAGTCCTCCCCGCACAGTAAAAATAGAGCCTTGTAAATCTGCAGCACCTCGGACACTTGCAGTATGTATGAGTACGTATACATGTACATATGTATATACACGTATATGTGTACGTATGCTTAGATTGTATACATATATACAGATTAATCATGAATGTAGTACTCCCACCTTGTGTATGCACGTATTAATTTGTCTTTTTCCAAATTTGTGTATTCAGCTTCTTTTTTGATTATTTCATATGTGAGTTTTTTCTGTATAATTAGAACTGAGTGCCTCAAATTTCCCTCTGGGACGAATAAAGTATCTATCCATTCATACAATCTACGTATCAAATCGCTATGCACAGACTAATCTTAGACACGAGCTACAAATGTCTCGCCTGGTCTGCGGACATCAGAAAACAGTGGACCAACACCAGCAGAGGACACGGCACCAAATCACTGACTGGAAACTTCACACTGGAAGCAACGTGGATTCTGGGACCTTGATTTCTAAATGACATGAAAGTTTACTTTCATCTGATAAGAGGACATTGGACCACTGAGCAACAGTCCAGTTCTTTGTCTCCTCAGCAGGTAAGACGCTTCTGATGTCTCTGGTTCAGGAGTGGCTCGACTTGAGGAATGAGACATTTGTAGCTCACGTCTAGGATTCGTCTGTGCACAATGCCTAGTGTGCATGAGTTTCCAAGATGGAACTTTGTCCTTATTCTAATTTTCTGAGAAACTTGAGTTTTAGGTTTTCATCATCTGTAAGCCATGATCATCACAATTACAAGAAATAAAGGCTTGAAATATTTCACTCAGTGTGTATTGAATCGTATATATGAGTTTCACTTTCTGAAGTGATTGACAAAATGCATTGAACTTGTTCACAATGTTCAATTCTTTTAGATATACCTGTACTAAGATGCCTAAAATTATTTAAAATGTATAAAAAGTGGTGGTTTTAACCACAGAATGAAATAGTTTTGACATTTATTCAGGCTAAACATGTAGATACTGGCAGCACGACGGCTCAGTGGTTAGCACTGTTGCCTCACAGCAAGAAGGTCCTGGGTTCAATCCCCGGTTGGATCTGGGGTCTTTCTGTGTGGAGTTTGCATGTTCTTCTCGTGCTTGCGTGGGTTTTCTCTGGGTACTCCAGTTTCCTCCCACAGACCAGAAACATGCATGTTTGTCTGCGTTCAGACACAGGTCTACCTTGCAAAAGAGATCTGTGATCTCAATGGGATTAGCCTGGTTAAATAAAGGTTAATAAATAAATAATACTCATATTTGAATTTCTTCAAGTTAGAATGAACATTTCAGATATCCAGAAGAGCTTTCTACTTATCTACAATCGTCACTTCGGATGCTTTAAAAGCACAATTCAGTGTTTCCCCTACCATATACAAGCGGGGCGCCCCGCCTACCAAACCAAACTCTCCACCCCCACTCGTCCGCACCGACACTGGCGTAGCACTAAGCTAGATGCATCTGTCGGTACAAACAACACACAACTCAGATTTGTGTCTCCTTCCCCCCACTCCCCTACCCCTGGTCAACAAAAGTCATGGACGAGATGAGCGCCCCGCCATGGCAAGTTAACTAAGGGTAACACGGCAATTCTTTTAAGGATCTATCACATCACTTTACCTCTTCATGCATATAGGACTTTTAGCTCCAGATGATCACAAGCATACAACAGGGCAGTAGCTGTGGATCAGTGCTTAGAGCAGTCACCCTCAGAGGTTTGACTCCACCAGAGTCATTACTACCACACCATAAAACAGTTTAAACCTTGCTCCAATGCTGCGAGCTTTGCTGCCCTTGGTCTCTTGCGCAGATAAAACATCTACCTTCCTTCTCTGCATCATGCCAGCCATCTTTCTACCTTTGCCTGTCATTGTCCCAACATTTAAAGTTGCTTCCCTGCGTCCTACATTCTGGACTTTTCTCTTCTTCCTTTGAAGAATTGTCCTTCACAAGTTTCATGAAAATGACATCTTAGTTTCTACTGGATGGTTCAGAAGTTACTGACTTTTGAAATATGCCTTTTTTTCTAGGAGGACAATATGGGCTTTGGTCGACCTACAAAGTAAGAATTACAATTACATTTTTTTTAACTTTTCTATGAGGTAGTTGTTGAAACCGACTGATCAATTGTTTTTGCAGGTTTTGGAAGCTGGATGTGGACAAAGTCTGTGGTAACGGTGCCATCACATGGGACCAAGCAGTGCATGATGCATCTGAGGAATATAAATGCAGGCCGGTATGACTCAATTTAAGCGTTTTTACTATTAACATATGGTATGTTGCTTCATCTAATAGATGTATTTTCCTTCTTTAATTAAAGCACAATCTGTGCTTTGATAACTGCCATTCCCATGTGGCCATGGCCTTAAACCTGATGCGGTACGACAACAGAACCTCCTGGAACATGGTGAACCTGTGTGTGCTGTCTTTCATTAACGGGAAACATGTAAGGTGAGTATTATGCATTCATTATGCCAGCACTGTAAGAGTAGTTTGTAATGAAAAACTCAAAAATCATTCAGAAATGTTTTCTGGATGTTCAAGTTTGGAGGAACTCAAGTTTTTTTTGCCAATAAGTCCAACTGCCTCATCCGATGTATGAATTTGAAGCACAATAGTTTGGATTTTTGGTTTGAGTTGTCTTTTTTCCTGCTGATTCTGAGTGTTATTTTGTATTTCTGCAGTCCAGACTTCATACTTAGTAAAAAAAAAAAAAAACTTTGCTGCATCACATGATATGAGGTTCTGACCTGTTGAACTGATGAAGTCTCTTTTTGGTTTAGAAATGAGGTCAATATTTTACTTACAACAGTTGCTGTCCTCAGGTCGTAGTTCTGATAAGTGTTTTTCTGTGTTTTTCTCGTGGATTGGCGAGCTAACTGCTAGTTAAAGCAGAGTCAAGGTCAAAGCAGATTGCTGCTGTGTTTACAAATCCAAGCTTAAAAATTCACAGTGGTTCATGTTTTTTATATAATATTTTTCAGCATAAATTATTCAATATCTCTGCAGGAAGTGCAACAGGCTGCTTTAAAATTGCTACAGTTTGATACTGCTGCATCTAGCTGCAGACCAAATAACCATAAAATGTTGTGTGACTGTGATGTAAACATGACCGTGATGTAAAATGGCCTGTCTTGTGTGGGATTTCTCCTTCTGCCTGGCTCCTGAGCTAGTGGGGACCCTGTCTGCTCTGTGGTACAGAGTCCTGATGACTCCTAACTTGTGATCCAGAGGGTGATGGGAGTCAAACTGCAAATACTGGTCTGTATGGGTGGGTTTGCAGTACACCTCAGTTTGCAAAGACTCAGAAACTGAGACTTCATAGTCCAAGAAAGCCAACCTGCCATTTTTTACATCTTCTCGTGTGAACTTGATATATTTATCCACAGAGTTGATGTGGTCAGTAAAATGTTGGACTTCCTGAGATTTAATTTTAACCCAGGTGTAGTCAACATACCTGAACCAATGACTTGGTGGTGTCCCTGAAAAGGACGTCAAGGCTCTCTTTTCTACCTCCTCCATGTACAGGTTGGCAACAATAGGAGAAACTGGAGACCCCATAGCACACCCATGTTTCTGCCTATAATATTGCTCCCCATATGTGAAGTAGGTTGACTGCAGGCACAGTTTCAAGAGTTGACACAGTTGTTCTGTAGAAAGACCCCAGACCAGTGGTCATTCCGTATGTTGCAGGAGTTTCAGAGAAACTGAGACGTTTATTTTCTAAACATAACGTCCCAGTGGTTTTTAAACACCAAATACATTACGGCAAAGACTGGTTCATCCCAAAGATCCAGTCCCTCGGCACAAACAGAGCAATATTGTGTATGCTGTTCAGTGTCAGGAGGGCTGTGATCAGTCTTACATCGGGGAAACTAAACAGCCACTGGCCAAAAGGATGGCCCAGCACAGAAGATCAACATCATCAGGCCAGGACTCTGCGGTCTACACTCATCTCCAGGCCAGCGGTCACTCTTTCAAGGATGAAGTTGTTCACATCCTGGACAGAGAGGAACGATGGTTTGAGAGAGGAGTAAAGGAGGCCATCTTTGTGAAAATAAATCCATCCATCCATCCATTTTCTTTACCCGCTTATTCCATTTTGGGTCACGGGGGTCGCCGGTGCCCATGTCCAGCAATCACTGTGCGAGGGGCGGGGGACACCCTGGACGGGTCGCAAGTCCATCACAGGGCCACATAGAGACAAACAAACATTCACTTTCTCATTCACACCTAGGGACAATTTAGAGTTACCAATCAGCCTAACATGCATGTTTTTGGTCTGTGGGAGGAAACCGGAGAATCCGGAGAAAACCCAAGCATGCACGGAGAGAACATGCAAACTCCACCCAGAGAGGCCCCTGGACCGGGGTTTGAACCAAGAACCTGCTCGCTGAGAGGCAGCAGCTCTACCAGTTGCGCCACCGTGCTGCCCTGAAAAGAAATCGTCCATCATTAAACAGGGGTGGAGGCCTCCGGGTTCAACTGCCCCCCTCTTACAATGCTGTGATTGCTAGTATCACTCAGCCTCCTGTGAATAGTAAACAGCCATCAGTGTGCTAATGATCCATTGATAGACTGATGGTCCTTTTGCATGTGAACAGCTGGTTTTGGCTGTCACCACCAAACTGGTTGATCCACTTAAGATGCTGCTTATAAGACTCAGACTGAAGACGTCCATCCATCCATTATCTTTTTACCCGCTTCTTCCTTTTCAGGTTGCAGGGGTCACTGGTGGCCATATCCAGCAGTCACTGTGCGAGAGGCAGGGTACATGCTGGACAGGTCTCCAGTCCATCACAGGGACACATAGAGACAAATGAGACAAACAACCATTCACTCTCTCACTCACACCTAGAGACAATTTAGAGTTACCAATCAGTCTAACACGCACGCATGTTTTCAGTCTGTGGGAGGAAGGTTCAAGGTGACTTTATTGTCATTCGTATCACGTGATACATGAGGTGGAATGAAATTGTCTTCTCAAGGTCCCAGTTACACCCCAAAATAGCAAAAAATATAAAGTAGAAATCGCAGTACCAGGAGAAAACGCACGCATGCATGGAGAGAACATGCTAACTCCACCCAGAATGGCCTCCTGGTCAGGAGTCAGTTTGGCAACCTCTTTGCTGAGAAGCAGCAACTCTACCAACTGCACCACCGTGCTGCCACTGAAGAAACCTTCAGGAAAAAAGACTCGACCTTTCAACAAAGAAGAGTCCGTCCAGAGGACCTGTTAGATTTATCTACCTGGATTATTGATCATGCGTCACAACATACGTCTTTAAGTTTGTTCAGGCAAAGCAAATGTTCACAAATAACTTTTTAAAATTCAAAACAGAATTTAGAAAGTACAAGTGACGCAGAAAGAACTTATTCTTCAAACGATTTTTTATTTTTTTAACTACAATTCACACACAAACACAGATTGTGTCTTTATTTCAAAACCCCTGTAAATAAAATGTTCTGCTGCTGGTATCCACAGCAGCTGCGTTAAGCGACATATGGCACAGAGACGCCCCCACCCCCCAGCCCAAACTTATTTTTTCATTATTCTCCACTGACCCACATAGAGAACAATGCTGCCACAGTTTGTGTATACATTCCCACAGCACAGGAGCCGTTTAAACAGAAGGGGAGTCGAGTAATTCATCACTGACAGTGGTGCACCCGCCTGCGCTTCAGCTGGAGGTCACTTCTCCGCTGGGGCTCCCTGCTCTGGCTGGGCATAAAGGACAGCAGAATGTGGGCTTGTGGAGTGGGGGTGGGTCAGATAGCTGTGTGTGTTGGTTTCCCAGAACATACCTGCCAAACACCATCCATTTCCAGATGCTTTTCAACTCCTCTAACCACGCTCTTTCTGTCCCTGCAGCTGGGCCGCGTTCCTCAAGACCTGGCTGCCCTTCGTCATGCTCTGCGGAGTCCTCATCACCTTCATCCTAACACTCAACCTTCATTAGTAAGCAGGAGGAGGCAGCTTTGGTTACACTTACACAGTCATGGACGTGAATGATTTGATGGGACGTTTGATAGAGCAAAGAACACTAGACGAAGGACTCCTGTATATTTTGTAATCTAAATGAAAAACAATATGGCTGACATCCTGCTGGATGTTGTTTCTAAATAATTTATCTATTTAATTTGCTGTCATAATTTAGAAAGGCACACAACAAGCTCCACAAATCCTTCCTTTTGCAGTACATCCTTTCCATATGATGCCACCAGAGTAAAGCATATACAGCAGCTGCGTTGTTCATGAATGTATTTCCAGACACTTATGATGAATCACTACAAAACCATTTGCAAAAATTCTAATGCTGGGAGCCATCATCAATTATTTGTCCAGGAGACTCGAGCTGTGACCAAATAAATAATGGTGGAAGAACTCCTTGTGAGAAATTGTTGCATTGTCCTGCTCTGAATACATTTTTCTCTGATTTGTAAATAAAGACAAGCTGTGTATTATTGGTATTTATGTCCAGACAGAAACGGAATGCTTTCCATTTGTACAACCTCAAACTGTGGTGTTACCGAAGTGCAACACTATTGAATTATAAACTGTTTTTAAAGTGTGTAGACAGATTATCATTATTTATTGTTGTTTGCTGGTTTAAAACCATGTAAAAGGATTATTACTGTGGTGTATGCCGTGGAACCTTTCTGTCCTCTGTACCTTTAAGGGAACCACATACTTTTTTTATCCAGCAGATTCTGTGTGATATGAACAACCATCAGTTTATGGGAACCCTTATTCCCCACAGTGGAGCAGATGAAGAGGCTGTAACGCAGGAACAAGCAGTGTTTTACACTTTTTGCAGTATTAAATTTGATTGAGAGCAAAAAAGGTCACTTTTTTTTTTTGCTGTCGTTGGCTTTTAGGTTGGTTGTTCAGGTTAAACATGGGCATTTTTGTATTCTATGTGTTTTGGGGAGTTCTCCTAGTTTGCGCACCTTGCCAGTGTTTGGGCTGTCTTCTTGGCTGTGAGTGTTTTGCAATCACCCACACGGTGAAATGTATCTCCAAGTCTCTGCTCAGAGTGCCACAAAACATTCCAGGATATGCCAGGACTGTCTTCATTACCGGGAATAATATTCACCAGATCGGAACGGATTCGTTTACAGAGCTAGAGAATGTCACTAACATCATTTTAAGCAATAACAGGTGAGAATGTTTAATGTAGTTTTTCTCATTTATGTATATAATGCACTATTATGTTGATGTGTACATAATAAATAAATGATGTCTTAGTCAGTGGATGTGTCTACTGTTTCTGATATGCGTTACAGCTGCATGTTGGGAGCAATTTTGATGATGTTAACACATTTTCATCATTCTTGTCTTATTACAATGCTCCCACACACTGTTTTATCATAATTGTGTGAATAAGAAATTTAGAAAGATGGTCATTTTTCTAGCCTTATTGAACAAAAACTTAGTTGCGTATTGACTCGGAGTGCACAAAGTTGCAGATTAAAGTAGCATCTCATTGGGCTACAGCTGTTGGTTATTTGGAGACATAAGATTGTGCAAATATACACCAATTTTCATCTGGTATTAGACTGAGCAACGTTTGCATGAACTCCCAAAGAAATTCAGGCCAAAATTTGCCAGGAGTTCACGTATTGTACATATTGGCAAAAAGCACACTTGCAACACACGCCACCAATGATTCACAAACTTTTAGCAAATGAGAATAACAGTAAGGGACACTTGTGACCACAGCCGTTGCTGGGTGAAGCATAAATGTTGTACGCCAACAGAACAAAGATGCACAAAACAACAAGAACAGCCTTAACCATTATATCATTTTTATCCATTTATGACTGCTTTTTTGTGTCTGTTATGGCAAAAAACACACAACTATGAAAATTGTTTTAATTTGTCCTGATGCATGCTCAATAATCCAGGTAGAAAAATTTAACAAAATTAAGTCAGGTACTAGTCTGAACACATTCAAAGAGTTTTAATTTGATTAATGAAAATTATTGCAAGACTCCCAAAGGGAATTTCATAACCCACCATGGGTTGACATCAGGAAACTATAAACGTACCTAAACTTAATTAGATGAGTTTCAGACACATAAAGACTTTGTGACTATTTTGAGAATTTTATAATCCAAATGTTTCTAACATGTTCAAATTTCCTCTGCACAAGTGTGCCCTGGGAGGAAATTGAGAATCCTTGCAAACATTTTGAGACATTTTGAAGATTCTCTCACAAATGCCATGAGCAATTTGTTGCCAAGATTTGCAGCCCATGAGATACTAGATTTTGAGGCAACTTGGGTTTCAATGTATTGAAGTCCATACAACTTACCAGAAAACGTTTTAGTGATGCAAAGCATGAATGTATGGTTCTTGGGATACAATAACCTTTTTATGTATTGCAATTCGTTGTGATATTGTTGATGCACACAGTAATGTTGTGATAACGATGCAAATTGTACACTTATACAACCAGAGTACAATTTGTATTGTTTTGTACTGTATTGCATTGACATGATAATACAAAGTGTACTCTTGTACAAGCAGTGCATTTCTCTCAGTGACAGTGGTCTGAAATGTCTAAGAGCAGATGTTACAGTATCGGTTGTCTCTTCAGGATCACAGAGTTGGCAGCCCATGCCTTCTCTGCCCTCACCAACCTGCGCTTCCTGGACCTCAGTGGGAACCAGCTGGCACTTATCCATCCAGAGGCTCTCAGCATTCCTGGAAGTCCTCTTCAAGAGCTTAACGTGAGCCGTTCGCTGTACAACTTCACTGCCCTGACAGACCTCGCCACTGCTTTGCGATGGGGTGGCCTCTGGGGGCTCCTCCGCCTTGACCTGTCTGGAAATCGTCTCGCCCTGCTGCCTCCAGGGATGTTCTCCCACGTTCCCAATTTGCAACAGCTCCTTCTGTCTAACAACTCTTTGGTGGCTATCTACAGCGGGACCTTCTCAGGCATGGATCACCTCGAGATGCTGGACCTGACACACAACGCCTTTGGGACATTCAGGTCTGATGCTCTTCAAGAGCTGAAGAGGCTTGGGAATATAAGGATCCTTCTCGGCAACAACCCATACACCTGCTCTTGTGAGATTTGCGATTTTGTAACTTGGCTGAACGAATCGAGAGTCCGAGTGGACGTGGATGCCATCAGATGCGCGTCACCAGCACAATTAACTGACTTCTATCTGCAAGGACTCACTGTCCATGCCATTGGTTGTGTTGTTCCAGTCCTCTCTGAGGTGACTGACCTCACCCTGAACACGTCCTATGCCTTCCTAGGGTTAGTGCTCGGCTTTGTGGGTATGGTGTTCCTGTTTGTGCTCTACCTGAATCGCAATGGCATGAAGAAATGGATCATAGAGACAAGAGATGCGTGTCGGGACATTCTGGAAGGGTACCACTACCGGTACGAGATCGACTCGGACCCTCGGCTGGGGCGAATTGCAACAGATAACAGGTCGCAAAGGCGGAGAGGACTAGATCTGTCACAGCATCTGCCAACCGACACATGTATTGTTCAGGAACTCACAGAAACACAAACAAAAAAGGTGACGACACCCCCCCACACGTTAACTCCTGACTGTTAAGTGTAAAATACGAGATAAGTATGTCCGCAGTATTCTGTAAGTTGAATGCAATTACAACCTTTAAATCTTTCCTTAAAAGTGCCTTTGTGTTTTTAAGGCACTGGAATAGAATCTGTGAACTGGTTTTGTGTGGGTGTTTTTTATACCAGCATGTTTTTTTTTGGCCGTTTGATAAACTATTTGTGAAATTGTGATAAATGTAAATAATTAGCTAAAATGTTTTGACTTAAAAAATGCTAAATAAAAATGTAATGTGTTACTAAGGCAGTATTTTAGGTCAATCTAACTTTGGTGGGTATATTAAAACGTATGCATCCTTAGTTTTTGTTCTCTGCCCCCCTCGCCTCCCATGCTCCATTATCCAACAAATTTTTTTTTTGTTTTGTTGGATTTGAGACAATTTTTATTCAAAATTGTCTTGAAGTGCAAACGTTTTTAATTCAGCTACAGCAGATATGCAAATTCAATCATTCACTCCGCACAGTTCAACCAGTCAATTTAAATTAAGTAGACTCACACAACTCAACATTTTAATTAAGACACAACAATGTTCAAACAACTACTCAAAGGAGATCAATCATTTAACAAAGCCAATCCAATCAAACTAAAACAGCTTTGCATAATAAAGCCTTTTTAAATCATTCATTCAATTGTTTTTACTTGAAGAAATGTTGCAAATTTTTTTGAAGTTCTGTGAAACCTTATAAATGGTTACTCTGTCTCCTATTTTATATAGCTCTTTGAATGAACTCAGTCTGGAAAAGAAAAGTTTAATTTTGAACATATTGACACAATAAAAGCTGCCTTGAATTACAGTATGCCAAATTCAGAGTCAGAGAGTCAGCATTTCTTTATTGTCATTCGCACCTCAGCAGCAACATTGAAACAGATCAGCAGCAACATTGAAGCAGATCAGCAGCAACATGATGTGATTTTTTTCACAGTGATTATTCTGGTTAGAGATTCATGAGTCTAACAGCCTCCGGGTTGAAGCTGTTCCTCAGTCTAGTGGTTCTACACTTAATGCTCCTCAACTTCCTTCCTGAGGGGAGTGGGGCTAAAAGTGTGTGCGCTGGGTGAGTGGGGTCCTTCATGATGCAGGTGGCCGTCTTCCTGCATCTGGAGGCGTAGATGTCTGTGATGGTGGGGAGGCTGACTCCAACAGTCTTCTGTGCAGCCTTCACCACTCTGCAAAGCTTTTCTTTCTGCAGCTGTGCAGCCTCCATGCCACACGTTGATGCTGGAGCACAGGATGCTCTCCACTGCACACCTGTAGAAGGAGGTGAGGACTGAGCTTCCCAGACCAGCTCGCCTCAGCCACCTGAGGAAGTAAAACCGTCTTAAAACAGGTCCAGTGTGAAAAATATCATGGTGGTTCATCCATCCACTATTTTTAACCTCTTCTTCCTGTCTGGGTTGCGTGGGTTGCTGCAGTCACTGTGTTAGAGGCGGGGGACACCCTGGACAGGTCTCCAGTCCATCACAGGAACAAAGAGACAAATGAGACAAACAACCATTCACTCTCTCACTCACACCTAGGGACAATTTAGAGTTACCAATCAGACTAACATGCATGTTTTTGGTCTGTGGGAGGAAAATGGAGTACCATTTCAGTACCATGAAAGCCCCACCACCACCTACCATGGCTGGGATTCAAACTGGCAACCTTCTTGCTGAGAGGCAAAGGCTCTACCAACTGTGATAGTGGTTCAAGTGGACACTGATTTATAAACGATTACGATGCTGTAGGTTTTGCATCACACAGCTGTTCCTGCAGGGGGAAAAAGTCAATGAAAATAAGACCCTTTAAGACTGCAGATTTTGGATAAAAGGCTAAATGGTTTTTTTTTGTTTGTTTTTTAAAGAATCCATCCAGAGGACCTGACCTTATTAGATCTGTGAAAATAACCATTTCATGCTAAACTGATGCAAACGTAAAGATTAAAAAAGGAGTGTTTACAAGATCAGCTTTAAAATTTGCAACGTTGTTTTAGGATGGCAGCAGTTCGCTTTGATTGTGGCCTTGTTTGGACTAGATAAGTGGTGTCACACTCACTTACAAAAGGGGGCCAAAATTAAAACCTTTTTCAAACTAAGGGCCAGTGTCAGAAACTACATTAACTCAAAGCAGACACCAAACATATTTTCTTGGTCACAGGTTCCTTAACAAGAGTTTGATTGGTTGATGTTCTCTGTTGTGCTTTCAACATCATAATCAAAGATTACTGAAAAAATTTCAAGAGGTAGAAGTACTTTATGTTTCACATATCATCTTGGGGGCCCAGATAAGATGTCACTGAGGGCCACATTTGGCCCCCGGGCCTTGAATTTGCCACATATGGACTAGATGCTGGCTGAACATTTTCAAAATTAATCTGTTTCTCCAAACCGATGGTGTTCAAACAGCTATCTACAGAAAATATATTAACTGTTTACAACGTTTCCACAGATCCCTCCTTCTACAGATCTGAATTATATATGTGATCCTGAATTTTAAGGCAGCTTTATTTTGTTATACTAAGTTGAAACAATGTAATTTTTTATACAAGTACAAAAAAAAAAAAAAACAACGCAATGAGTAAATTACATTGACATTGTTTATTTATAGAATTAGTTCTTAATAAAGAATTAGACTAAATTTCAAGCGATGTAGCTAGAAATATTATTAATGGTAACGTAGAGGCTTATACATTCTAATAAACATATTTACTCAGTTTTAGAATAGTTCTTTATACCATTGAGTATGCTTATATTAAATCTAGAAACAAAAAAAGCTTTAAACAATAGCATATATAAACACAAATATTTGCCAAAAAAGTCTTTTTTATGCTGTTTTATTCAATTAGAGCAAGAAACTTTATGTGTGTGTGTGTTTACGATTTAATTGGGCTTTTATTCTTATTTACTGTAATGTGTATTTGACTTGAAAATAAATTGTCGTTTGGTTTGACTGTAAAGCAATTTCGTCAACCTCAGTTGTTTAATGCGCTGAATTAAAAACACATTCTTTATCCCTTTTTTGTGCTTTAAAAAAATATATATATATGGATTTACATTTATCCTAAATAAATCCTTTGTCTATTTATTTAATATTGCAGTTTTGTGCTTTTATTGTGAGTGCAGCGAGCAGCTTGCATTCTGCTTTTAATGTTATATTTAATAATTTAAGGCGGCCCTGCTATTTCAGCTCGGACAGTTTGATGAAGTGCGCGCGCGCCGGAGAAATGGAGAAATGGGGCAAAATGAAAAATCTTGTCCGGAAACACACCTGCCGGCTGTGCGCCGCACTGCGCATGCCCGGGCGGCCCTTTTTTTTTTTTTTTTTTTGGAGCTCGCTGCTTATGTGCGCGTGCATTTAGCTTATATTAGCAAAAGCGCATTTGTCCAAAAATAATAAAAAAAATAATAATGAACCGAGTCGACGATGTCACGTGAGAAACAAAACATAAAGTGAAATCCGAATTAAAATGGCACTCCTTTTAGATTTGACTGACTTCATATCCTGCCGGGTGACGTCACGGCTCACCTGTGGGTGGGTGTTCTAGGATTAGCTGTAGCCGCAGGTAATAGCCAAACACTGGAGGAGAGACGCTTCACCAGCTCGGGAGCTTCTGTTTTGTTGAGTTTTAAACCGAATGAGACACGAATGAGCGGGGTCGGCTCGGTGGGTCTCGGCTCCGGACTCCGGGCTTCACGCTTTCAAAGTTCCTTGTTCGGTGGGTAAAAAAAAAACAAAAAAAAAAAACACCCGAAAATCGGTTTGGTGTTTCGACACCCGTCTTTTTTTTCCCCGTCGGTTCGAAGCGCGAGTTGTTGTTTGAGACTTCCGCGGTTTGCTCTGAGCAACTTATCAAGGACACAAAACAGCCACGACTCGAACTTCTTATGCGGTAAGTGGACGATCTGCATGTCGGGTTCACATCAGTTACACGATGAACTAACTGCACTGTCGAGCCAAAGGCCCTGCGAGTTCACGTGAATTACCTTTGAGCACAAATCAGTGTTTTAATGCTCTTTAATACTGGAGGCTAAGTGTTTGTTGCGCTGCAGCTTCATTCGACAACAGGACCTCACTGAGTTGGACCGTGTTGACTTTTACTGCTGCTGTATTTCCCAAAATTTAAAAGTCAGACTTTGTAGAAAGCATCATCTCAGATGAACGATGGAAAAGCCTATGCTTCTCTCATTGGCAGCATCTTGCATCTAAACCAAGGTAACTTTAAAAAGATGCTCTGTGAGTCTGGATAATTTATCCCTAACATCAATGGTGTACTTTACATTTTTGTAGTGGGTATACTGTGCTTAGAAGCCAAAGTACACTGGTTAGTACAATGCAATCGTCAATTTATTTTTGAGTTTTAAGCATATTGAACATTCCCAAATTTCTCTGATGCTTATATGTGAATAAATGAACAACAAACTTTGTACAACAGTTGGCTTTGTGTTAAAAACATGTTACAGAATTTATAAAACTGTATCAAAACAAAGCGCTGCATACTGATACATTTGTACAGAAGCATTTGACAACTGTTTAACGTATCAATGACACGTGCCTAATGATAGGTCATGTTATCATTGGGCACTTTTAAGTGAGTATACTGAAATTCTTAAATTTTTCTAGTGGGTATACTCCGTATACCCTAGTATTATGTAGACTACACCACTGCCTAATGTATATTGAATGCAACTTAGTTAAAAAGTTAGGCCACCCCAACGGTATACATTTTGTTTTTTGTTTTTTAACTCTAAATGGCAATTAAATTTTACAAAATTAACAAAGTTTTAATAAAGACTTAAGCCTTTTGACTAAGGCTATACATTTATTTTGACGTTTTTTCTTTGTCCACTCATCAATAAGTGCTATGTGTTGTCATCATTGCATGTTTCCATACAATGATGAAATTAGTTCACTGTATTTAACCCATCACATGTGAGATACACCCAGGTGGAGCAGAGGGCAGCTATGTAAGCACCCGGGGAGCAATTAGGGATTAGGTGACTTGCTCAGAGACACCACAACATGTGGGAATGGCTGGGAGTCGAACTGCAGCTTTCTGGTCATAGGTCGGCTGCCCTACCTCAACCCCATCTCAGACCCCCATTAACTTAACCAGGCAAATCCCATTGAGATCACAGATTGCTTTTGCAAGGGAGGCCTGGGCCTGAAGGAAACTGGAGTACCCAGAGAAAGCCCGTGCAATCACTAGGAGCGTGCAAACTCCACATAGAAAGATCCTGGGTCCAAACCAGGGCTTGAACCCAGGACTTTCCTGCAGTGAGGCAACAATGCTAACCACTAAGCCATTGTGCTACCACTCTATCCTAGCAAAAATGTCCATGCCACGCCACTAGGTCCCAAGAATGTCTGCATTACACAACAGAACAAAAGACAAGAACATAAAGGTCAACTAAAAAAAATTCCCAGAATAGTTTTCCCTTTGATTGTGTTTACAGCTTCCTTTTAGTTATTACCTATATGGGCGCACAATTAACGTTTAATATCAACAGATCAGGTAAAATTGAGACAAACGGGAAAGAATTTGGTAAAACAGCTTCAGTGTTGTTTTGGTTTCTAGAGCACAAAGTGATGGTGGGTGTGTGGAAAACAGGCTCATCGTGGTTTCTTTGCATTTCCAGTTTAAATGAATAAGTGTTTTTGAAAATTTCCACTCTGGAAAGTTTTTTTCTCACTGAAGATTCACTTTGCATGCGGACAAGAGGTGCAAACAGCAGAAAATCTTTGTTTTAAACAACATCCATTCTTGTATGAATTGGGTTGGAGAAAAAAAAAAAGACAGGAAAAGTGTCTGAAAAATTTGAGTTTTGAAAAGTATGAAAATTTAAAATTTGAATTGTGTAGGAACCCTACAAGAAGAACTATAAACCATCGTGAGGCCTGAAAAAAGAGCTTTATATCAACTTGTAAACATTTATTTTTTCACCCCAGGTTCCAGGTATTTTGAGCCATGCCTGGCCAAAGCACAGGGGCTCCCCAGACGTCCCACAACCATAAACCCCACACCTCCAGCACCAGAATGGACACGTACCGGCAAACCCGAACTATATACCGGGAGAGCACGGTCAAGCAAGACATATACAAGAATCATCATGGGGATCAGCTCAATGTACACCCCAAGTATGCAGAGAACAAATATGGCCGCAGCAAAGGACACGTACGAAATGGTACATCCCAGAACTCAGAGACTATAGGATTTATCCCAGGGTCGGCAGACACCACGTCGAGCAGCAGAGCCACCTGTGACTCTTGTGCCTCAGTGGGTTGGAATAGCTGTAAATCTCTTATGTGCTGTATACTGACCTGTGGATTTTATGGCAGCCGAGATCCCTGTGTGCCTGCTAATGAGAGCTCCACGGACCACCCACCCAAATCAGGCGGTGAGCCGCCTCCTGGCATGGTTATGACCAACCCAACCTGTGGTGTCCCTTTGGAATCCAACAAGCCCGCAAAACCTAACAAGTTACCCCCTAGTGAAAGCTTCCGTTACCCGGACGTGCGTTTTAGAGGAGAGATTATAAACTACCCAGTTAATGCCCCTAAAAGAACCCGTACACCCGTCAAGGGAGAAAGCCATCGACCGATCAGCAACACCAGCTTGTTATCCAACGACTACTACGATCTGGACGACCCGTGTGACAGCACAGACGTTGACTCTCTTATCACCAAAAAGCTGCTGGAGCTTTACGCTCTGCATCAGATCGAGGAGCTGGCCAAGTGCACATCTGACTCATCCTTCTCCCGAAAGACCAATGAGATCAGTGAGCTCATCTACAACATCGCCCAGAACTACAACTTGGAGGAACAGGAAGCCGAGTGCAAGCTGGTGCACGGAGTCATTCGCATCAGCACACGTAAGGGCAAGAAAAAAGCCAGCCATCATTCAACAGGACACCGTCCAAATGGCAGGAGTGACGGTACCCTCCCTGACAGCGGCAATGAGACTATGACCTGCAGCAGTGAATGTAAGATGCTAGATTTGTGGCTAACACTAATGAGTGAATAAGTACAGATTTTTGTGATGCAATCAAGTAGACATTTCTACTCATCTGGCTACAGAATGCTAAATATAACAAACATCTGACTGGTCTTCCCCGTAGTGACTCATCGTGTCTGTTGGAACGTTACTTCTATTGTTTGGCTTGGAGCTATAAGCCCCAATACACAGAGCTTTTTCCAGGCAATGGCCTATTAACAGCCTCTTAATCTGAGACAAGCTGATACAAGTACACACAGTAGACTATAACATTGAAAAAGCAGATGATCAGATTATCTCTCACTCAAAAGTACTTTACCAGCCGCCCTGTCTGCTTCAGTTTATTTTTTATTTTTATGTCGGATTCTTGCAGATCCAGAGGTGAAAGTGTCCGAGCAGACGCCATCGGATGAGCTGGCACGGAAAATGAGGCATTACAGCGGGAGAGGTGAGTACACGTGGGGAATTTCCCATGATGGGTGTAAAGAGCCTTTTGTGTCAAGTTTGGGGCTGAAGGAGAATATAGAACATAATGATATGAAACAGTGCGTACGCACTAACTGTCCTCGTCACTGAGGTGTAATTACCACCCTGTCATGTGAGTCAGTGTGGGGGCTCTGACTTTGCAACCTATTGTGCCCACCGCAGCTGCAGGCTTTTCCTCACCTCCTTTCCAGTAATATACCTTTCTTTAAAAACATTAAAATAGCTCTGTACTCCTACCCCCTTTCTGCACATGTTCACAGTTCTCTGCCACCTAATGCCTATGTGCCTCTTTATTCCCCTCCGGCTCAGCAGTCATGCTACACCACCTGCTAAAGCAGCAGATCAAGTCCCGTTAAATACATGCCTCGTACTGTCCCCTGATTTATTTTGTAATTTTAGCAAACAGCTTGAGTTACAACAGGATTACAACAGGCCCCCTTTCCCCTCGAACTTGCTCTTTTGCAAAGAGGCAGTTAAAAGGTATCCTGTTACATTTCTTTGAATGAGGGTACAGCACTTTGTGTTTCTACAATGTTTACAGCGAGGCCCAGGATTGTCATTTAAACTCAAATGAAAGTAAGTGAAACATGGTCTGCCGTGTTTCATTTGGCACGTTCACAAAACAGCACTGCAAAATGGTCGAAAAGATCAGGATGTCTTTAATGCTGCTTCTGACCTTTCATAAGTCCCTAAACAAGCCGGCAATGTCCCACACAGACGTGGGCTTTCAGAAATTACACGAGCGTCGCAGAACCGAAAGAGGCACGGAGCAGAACTCAGCCGAGTTGATGGACATTTCATTCGTATCGTTTTCAAAATGTGAAAACGTCAACTAAATGTAAAGTTGCTCTGCGACATCATCAATCTACTCCCCTGTAATGAATCTATTATTATTTAAGATTTTAAATTCCACAGCCAAGTGCTTGCATAATTAGTGATTTTTATAGCTGCTTTGCCATTGATAAGTGCGACTCCACTTGGCTCTCGTCGTATCGGTTCTTCTCAGGTGTGGGTGATTTGCCACTGTGTCTTGTGTCCCCTGCTCTATGGGCGGTATCGTACTGTGTTCGAGCCACTCTGCCCTTTGTGGTCCTTAATCCAACTATAATTGAACTTCAATTTCTTTAGCTTATCCCAGCACTGCTCTGGGTGTAGCCATGCTGTACCATCATCTCCATTATTTCTCGGTAAATGTGCTCATTACTTGTGGGGCCGTCCAGCCCACGTTGAATCCTAACATCTGTCAATAAAGTTAGAAAGGTCTCCTCATCATAGGTCCACGACACTGTTTTTAGAGCCTCCATACCAGAAACTAACAAAAAACAAGAGGCAACACGATCAGAGATGAAATGGAGGTTCAGATGTAGCGTGCTGTTTTGCTGGGCGGGTCATTCAGTGACGTAGCTCCGCTGGCCCATCAACAGCTGCTGTCTGCACACATCAGAATCGTCACCTTGATGCAGTTTGCTTGGAACCTCTAAGAAGGTGGTCCCATAAACCGGGCTCAGCGGGGGTGGGTACCGGCAGGGGGCAGACCCTTAACTGGTGCAGAACCGATTGAGAGTTGAAGCAGTGGCAAAGTGCCATAAGACATCCAGAAAGCCTGCTCACCTTTATACATGTTGACTGTTCTATATCTGTTTCCACCCTGCTTGTCAGCACAAAGGTGCATCAGCGGTGGGATGAAAACCCCTCGTCCGCTCCGAATTCCCACCAAGACTGCAAGAAGACTTCTCAGTCCTGGCTTGAACTGTTGTGTGCCTTTTTGTTCAGTTATTGAATTTCAGTAAGTGATTATTTTTTTTCTTCCTTATCAGCATATACCTCCAACTCAGCCACAGCCTACTCGCCCTACCTTCACAACACGGGAACACACTCCTCAGCAGCTCCTCTGCTTATTTAAGCAGGGAAATGAACGAGTCTGTGTTGATCAGTCATGTAGCCCAACAGACCTTCTTACTCCTCTGTTGTCGGTGATGCTGTTACTGAGTGGTGCACCTTTCCCTGGATGGTTACAGTTCTCCGTTTTATGGTCAAATTACTATTATTTTTTTTTTTTAAGACTAACAGAGGAGACTTTTTATTTTTACCCCACATAGGGTTGTAAGTTTTTCATAAACTTGTATACAGTGTTGTAAGTTTTAGAAAGTGGCAAATAACTGAAAGCAAAATGAGCAGTCATGAAGCCGGAGGATCGAGGCTCATGGTAGGACATGACCGTCCTCATTCTTGTCTTTGTTTTTGTTTTTACAAGCTGTGTTTGTTTTCATGTGAGAGCCTATTGTCTTCTACCATTTCTGTAGACTGCTGACATGTGTTTTTTTTTTTAAATTGCTTCCCTAAAAATGGTATTGTTACATGTAAAAGCCATATTTTTGCTGTAAATACTCCTAGTCATTGTTACTTTGTGTCATTTGGTTTAATTTTTTTATATCATGCATTAAGTCTTGTTTTTAATAAAATAAAAAGCTCATTGCTTTTTTATGCTGTTCAGGTGGTTTTAATAAAGAGACATCTTAATGTGTGGCAACAACATTATCTGTTTTCTCTTGACTTATCTCCAAAAAAACAAATATAAACTACTGTAGGTCTTAAACTGGAAGCTCAACAAAATGTTCCACTCTCACATTAACCAGTGTTTGTAAAAGTTTTCTCTCCTTAACCCACTTTTCCTTTTTGTTTTTATCTGGGATTGCTGTCAGGCTCGTCTCCCCGAGGTCAGCGTTGTAGCAGGCAGGCTTTTTTCGCCCTCGGCAAAAGGAGGAACTTGTTTGTCTGGTTCTGACAGAAAGGAAATAAAATCCCAGGGTTTGTCTTTGTCATTTATGGTTGAAGGAAGAGGCAGATAGCTTGATTTCAAGAACCTGCCCTGATTACAGTAATTCAAACGAGACAAATTGGATCATTAATTGAATATTTGTGGAAACTTTACACCTCAGGTTTTGAGTTTTGTTTCTTTATGAGATGAACCTGTTGCTTCAGCTGCCCACACAACACATTAAAGAAACATTTAAGTTCATAAACTCAGAAAAGCTGCTGAAGTTTACTGTAGTTTTTTTGCTATCATCTTATTTTAATTGTTAGTGTAAAATCTAGCAGGCAGCACAATTTTTATTTAAAAAAAACTAGTAAACCTTCAGCCATTTTGATTTAGATTTAAATTAGATTTTTATAAAAGTAGCTACATAACAAAGCTACAACAACCGGCAAATTATATTTTTGGGTATTTAGTGCCAGATTTCAGTATTTTAGTCTTGTTTGTGTCGCTGTTTCCCTGCATAACCCCGTTTCCTCTGGCTCTCTGCCCCCACCAGCACATTCCTGTTTTACCTGTACGAGTTGTCATGTAAAGACACAGTTTCACAACTAACATACCGCATGGCAGGATGACTCACGAGTCTCGTTAAAAAAAATAAAGCTTGCAGATTGCTTGGATTTTTATGGCATACTTGATTTAGCATTTGTACTCTTATTTTTTTACTTTATGGGTCAGAACATGTAAGGATTATGTGCTTGTTTTTTATGGGGGAGGGAAAAAAAAGGTTTTTTTGGACAATGTCATCTGAGTAAACTTCCAGTTTCCACTATTTGGCATTAGAGGGCAGCATAGTATCAGATTAAACGGTTAACCCATTCTTCACAGGACTGTGTAAATAAGTCTTTGAGAGAATTTGAATAATACTATGGACCTTTACAAGAAAATCTGGAAACATCTAGTTGAGCAATCTGTCACATGTCCGTGATGATGGATTGCTACCGAGGTTGTTTACACCCATTTGAACAGACTCCAACTGAGCTTCGTTACATTTGTGTACAAAAATATATTTATTTGAAATTCTGTAAATGTAAAGAACGCGTATTTACAACTACGAAACGAGAAACGGCTTTGACAATGGATCAAGTATATTGTTTTCAGTGGGGGAATTCTGCTAAGATGGGACTAAAGTGGTCTCGGCTGCACCACAACTAAGTGGTCCCAAACCCACACCCCATGCAAGACACCCCTTTATTTCATGAGTGCACACTGCACGGGGGTCACAACAGTTCATCTTGAGGAGGACCATCCCTCCTATCTGTAGAAGAGCATGTCGACCAGCAGCTCCAGCAGGTTAGCCTGGCCTATCACCGGCCGGAAGAACAATTCAGTGATGAGGCTGGGTGTGATGCCCTGAAGCATGGAGGCTGTGAGGAGGATTCGAGCAAAGCACTCCTGGTGATCCGGGTGAAGCAGCTGGACCACCTCCCTCAGGGCATGCTGAGCTTCCTGCTGCAAGCCTTCCACAAAAAGGCCTGCCTTTAAATCTGGAACATCTGTTGACGCAAAAACAGAGTTTTGTTTGTTTCGTTCCAAACAAAGAGGGTTCTTTTGACATAGTATCTGATTCACCTACCTGGGTTAAATATCGTGGTCCCTTTCAGGTATGCGTACTCCTTTGGGCTCAGATCCAGAGCCCAGAACTTTTTAAGACAGGACTTGAGTTTGCTGACCCCTGCCATGGTGGGCTGCTCTCTTTCCAGTTCAGGGCTCCCCTGGTGGTTCAGGAGAATCTTCTTCAGCATGCTGTCAGTGGGGATGTCCATCACCTCAAAGTCCACGTGTTCCTGGGCCAAACCCAGTATGAAAAGAGGTGCCCAGCAGCTTTCAAGGAGTGCAAACTGGTCACTCCTTGGGAGCTGGTTAAAAGCCGGCAGGTTCTTCATGAAATGAATAGTTTTTACCAGAACCGCAGAAGCTTCTTTGCAGACAACAGATGGCCTTTTCAGGCACACTCTCCGTCTCATCTCACAGTTGCATTTGTGAGGACCTGAAGGTGAGGGATTGAAGGCGTCTTGACCCGCTCTGCTGTTGTCCATTTGACTCAGGATCTTGTAGAGGATAGGATTCAAAAGCCTGTCGCTGTTAGTCGTACAGTGGCATCTATTATCCATCTTTGACGTAGCTACTCCTGAGGTATGTGTTTTCAAGATGTGCTCGTTATGAGCTTGCGAGTGCTGCTGCTGCTTCCTCTAGTCTACCTCTAGTATTTATAAGGCCAACCCTCCCTTCTTAGTGGACCTTGAAATGTCAATACACCCTATGTGGAAAAACAACCATGTGCTCTGCCAGGTGACTGCTGGAATAACCCTGGGAAACAGATAAGCTTTTCTCAATGAGGAGTAGCTGCTGGAGTAACACACGGATATCAAAAGGGATTGGCCTTTATCTCGGAGCCGGTGTCATTAACCCAGGCAGTACCAAGCTACCAAGGACTGCAGAGGTAATCAGCCCCACACTGTGTCACTGCACCCACCAGCTCACACCTCTAAAGCTGGAAATGGGCCAGAGCGCAAAGGAGGCCGTTGACCTTCACAATACGGCCTCAACAAATTCAGTTCCATTTAAAGAAATGTTTCCAGTTTCTTTTTTCTGGTAAATTTAAGGTGATAGTTCAGATTTGTTTTTGAGTTGGGGTTCTGTGGAGAGGGTGTAAAGAATGTGCGTTGTAACGTACATGAAACTTCACCGATGCGTTCCATCGTCCTTTGAAGTCAGAACAAGGGAATGACATAGGACTTGATTCAGGTAGCTAAGTCAAGATGCAAGTTAGGAAACCAGTAGAGCTTACTAATTGTTGTGCTTATTGACCAGGTTGTAGCTTTAGCAATACAAACCGATATCAATGGATTTCTCTGCACTCTAAGCATCCAAACCCTAGCAATAAATTCGTCCACATAGGCTGAACAACACTGTGCATGACTGAATTACTGTGATTCAAACTGACAGAAGTGAAATTAAAAAAGTATTATTTTTCCTGGAACTGTCCAAATTTGGAGTATTAAAATAGATTTTTCTGACTTGACACTTGAATTGTTTATTTAACTTTTAATATGAATGGATCACCATAGCTGACATGCTAACACCTACCGGCTAGTCCAAAAGCAGCCAAGACTAAAGTGGATTGCCGAAGTCCTAAAATCTTCAACTTCAAAATTTCATAGATTCATGTAGACACAGTTTTATAAACCTTTGCATCTGAATTTCTTTTTCTATATATATATATATATATATAGAAATGCTAAAGGATTACGTAATAGATGGCTAACAACCTTTCATTGGGTAGCAGAAAGTTTTAAACCCTGGAAAGGTAAATGTCAACTTATCCCATTTGTTTTAAGAATCCTTGTGTAGCGCTGGATTCCACTGGGATTGTTTGTAGCAATAACTTGTTAACATGTAAGTTTAGGGCAAGAGATAAAAATAGGTTCAGATTATGTGAATTATTTTCAATTGGTGCTTGATTACGTTTTGAAACTTTTATGGCAATATTAGTTGAAATTATGATAGACTGTTGATATGTGCTGCTGATTACCAGTATCCATGCTGCTGATCTCATGCTGCTGTGTTCATTCGTACTCATCTGCTCACCCAGACTCATGTTCGTGCTGCTGTTGTTTGGCGTATTGCTTTTGTGCTATTAGTGCTTAGCGTATTCTTAGCCTAGCATATTTCTTAGGTCATATCTTAGATCTTGCTACTGTTTTTCTTTACAATTTATACTTTTGTTGGATTTTACTGGGACCCTGCGTACACAATTTTGTTCCATCACATATACCACATATGATGTGAATGACAATAAAGAAACCTTGACCTTGATTATGAACCAAAAAATACAAACTGTGTGTGTGGAAAGAAATTTGTGCCCAAATTCATACTATCAATAATACAATCTGTGAAAAAAAAAAAAAAAAGCATAAAATTAGTTTGTTTAATAACCTCAGTCACAGAAAAAGTAAAGTGAACATCCTTCCAAACACACATAAAGAAATAAATCTAAATAACTTGCTTTTACAGTTTAACATAACCCAAATAGGTCCGAATATTTCCCTTTTGGAAAGCATCATATGTGCTTAAATAATAATAAATAAATCAAAACTCTTTTGAGACATTATTTTGGCTCTCAGTTGTTTGATTCAGGCAAAGAGAGAAGCAGCACCCTCTGTTGAAGACAGTCGTTTTATTTTATTTATTGAAAAGACATCAAGATTTTTGAATTTATGTACTTTGAAACTGCTCGGTACTTTTTGTATGTGAAGATAAAATAATGACAACGTCAACTTTTTCATGAAGATATAAATCACAAGATGGAAGTGTCAAGCTCAAAACATTAAATTATAAATATATTTGGAACTGGACTCATTTGACTGGCATGACATATTTAAACAGCCTACTGGGTGTTTTTCTACAGAACAAATTTAAAGTTATGATAATATATTTTCTTTTACAGATGTGCTTGCTGTTTAAACGTTCTGCATTTGTTTTGGCTCAGCTCCTGAATGAAAACCGAATTTCAAAACTTAATCATTTGTCATGAAATCAAATGTCACTTTCTATGATAGATGTGCAAACAATAACATAATTTGCAAAATGTACATTTGTATTTAGTATCCTAATGAAAAAGTATAAGTTTATTGTCTGTAAAACTGTTATTTTCTCCACATATTATTTATGTTTGTTCATTAACTGAGGCCTCAGCTCCGTCCGACAAACACGTTCTTTCTGTTAACAACTTTGACAAGACTCCAGATCTTGTCGGAGCTGGATTCAATGGACAGATGTGCTTTTGTTTCACTGAGAACTGAGTCACATCTGGAAAACCAGAGCGAGGAGGTAACGGTATTACATCGTCAGCTGCTGTTCCAGAGAATTGCACCCAACAACCTGATCTCTCAGATGATTTTAGTTTAAAACTCTTGCAGTGAAAGTGATGTGCATTCACTTAAATTAAGAATAGAAAGAATCATATGTGATTATAAAAAATTTTTAAAAATCAAATAAAAGTCTCTGACCAAACAGACAGTAGTGCTCAATCACTGTTCACGCATCAAGTTTTATTAAACTTTGTATGATAGATGCTCGTTTTTATGAAACTTTTCAATTTCACCAACAAAGTCTGGAATTTTCTGAGTCCTGGTGTCTGTAACAGTTTGTTCAGTGTCTTCTGTCATAATTCTTTATCTGTCCTGTGCCTGGCACCGAGGTTTGAGACTGATAAGCAAATGACTTTATTACCGTCACAAATAAACTAACGTGCCGGAGCTGCTTCAGCTGCTTCAGCTCAGACGTTTAGCGCCACGAATCCCAAACAGCAAAAAGTTTTTTACTGCATGCCCAAGTATCACTGAAGAGCTCAGAACGCTGCTTTTATTTGACGGGACGCTGGCCAAGAGGCTTTAAAGTGTCACAGAGTGGACGTTTCAGGGGATGATGTCAACTGTTGAGAGCAGAGTCAAGGTCAGCCTCCAAGTGTAAAACTGCAATAAAGTGATTATAAACACCAGACACAACTGGCAGCACCAGTCACCGAATGTTTGCATTATACTTCATCACTCTATTCGAAGAATCACTTGGAATTAACATATTATTTTTATTTTGCAAAAAGGCAAGATACTTCATATTCCACATATTATTGCGCCTTTGGCGTAGTTGTTTTGGTTCGTTGAAGCTTTTACTTACTATGAATATCATAAAACTGAATAAAAAGTAAAAAGGGAATTTATTCCCACAAAAAAAACTGAAATGGGTCACTGTTTATAGGTTTTCAGTCTGTTGAGATTTGCGAGGCAACTTATAGCCTCCTAAACTCACTTATAAAAAGTTTTTGTACTGACACTGATAACAATTTAGTCTTGTTACAACTAATCACACACTGACTAAATTAGCTAGGTACAAAAAAAATACAACAATGCAAGTTAACATGATCTTTTTACTACTGTAAAATATTTACAAGAGGAATAATTAAATATTAATTTGTTTAGGAGTGATAACTATCACCAAACAGCAAACGATCCAAAATATGTTCTGGTCCACTGAACATGTTGTGGTGAGTGACTTCTTATGGCACAGCTAATGAACATTTACCAACACAAAACAACTATAAATCAGTCTGTTTTACAGATACTGAGCTAAAATTTGCTGTAGCTGTGAGTCATTTACTAAAGCAAGACAATCTCAATGTGAGACCGCACATAAAGTTATTTTCTAGGTTTGACCTAAAGGACTACTTTACTCA